AATTAAACGTGAACATTAAAATGTTTCAGCAGTGAGGAGGAAACCTGCTGCCAGTTCATCTCCAGCTGACTGACTCTGTGTGTTTGCATATGTGTCCTGCCTCTCTGCTCCAGCTGTTAAGAGGTCAGAGTTGATCGGTGGCTGTCCAGGCCTTTCAGAGCCACTGACACACCAGCAGCACAATGATGATGTCACTGACTCCACTGCTGACCATCCTGGGCTCCTGGTTCAGGGTGAGACTCTGAGAGAAACTTGTTTTTACAGTCGTGCTCTATTATATTGGGTCAACCAAACACAAGAGACTTTCTTAGTTATTTTCTACATGCTGATGACCTTCTGTTCAGATCCTAATTCTTTTCTCTCTGTTGCAAAAATATTCCTTTTTGTATTTTCCAGGTTCATCAGGAGACATAATAGTGACTCAGACTCCTGAATCTCAGTCTTTTGCTGTAGGACAAAGTGTGTCACTAAAATGTAAAACCAGTTCAGATGTTGGTAGCTGGATCGCCTGGTACCTTCAGAAACCTGCAGAAGCTCCTAAACTCCTGGTCTATAAGGCTACAACTCGTCAGTCTGGAGTCCCAGCTCGGTTCAGTGGAAGTGGATTTGGTTCTGACTTCACTTTGACCATCAGTGGAGTTCAGGCTGAAGATTCAGGAGTTTATTACTGTCAGCAGGGTTACAGCTTCCCACTCACACAGTGATAGAACGTCGTACAAAAACCTTCAGCTGGAGAGGAACTGATCCGACTCAACAGCGGCACTGAAACTAAAACAATGAAGTTTCCAGAAAAGTATTTATTCATTTGATAATGTTTACATTTATTCATTCATTTAGTCTCATGTTTTTTTCTAGTATGTAGCTTTATAATTTTTAATGTTTTGTAATCTAAGTCAAAATAAAAAATAAAAATAATACTGGAGAAATACCAGGGCCTCAGGGAGGAACTGGAGAGGGCCTGGAAGGTGAAGACCACAGTGGTGCCTGTGGTCATCGGGGCCCTCTGGGCAGTAACCCCCAAACTGGATCAATGGCTACAACAGATCCCAGGAACAACATCAGACATCTCAGTCCAGAAATGTGCAGTCCTTGGCACAGCCAAGATACTGCGCAGGACCCTCAAGCTCCCAGGCCTCTGGTAGAGGACCCGAGCTCAGAGGATAAGAACCACCCACCATAGCTATATGGTCAAAATATGCAAACAAAAATCCATAAAAAATTTTAAAAAATATTTGTGTATAATATTTTTCAGATCATTTTATTCTAGGTTGTTATAATCATCTGATTTTATAGATCTATGATTTATGTTGATGGTAATAAATCAACATTTTTCAATTTTTTAAAACTCCAAACGTATTTCAAAAATCTAATTTTAAATTCACTATAATTTTATTTTCAGGCTGTTTAATCCTAGTCTGTGGATGCATAATGTCTAAAAACAACAAAAGTCAAAGAAAAGACATTGAGACCAAATAAACAGATTTAAAGCTGATTTTAAAAAGCAGCTACACACCAGAAGTTGATGAGTAAATATTTATTATCTGAACAGTGACAAACATGACAAAGCAAACATGACTCAGTGAAAATAGAGAATAATCAGCAGAGAAAGAGTGAGAGCAGTGACAGATTAAAGCCAGTATCAGAATGAGCTCAGTACTGGGAACACTGGTCTCTCCTCAGTGTCTCTGTGACTGCAGGCTGGGAGCTCTGGGAGGCCTCACAGGTCACAGAGCCCACCTTCCTCCACTGGTCTGCAGGGATCCTCAGGGTGCTGCTCCAGCTGTAGAGGCCGTCATTCTGCAGCACCCCGGGGCTCCTGCTCTGCTCCCAGCTGCTGCTGCTGCTGCCGTCCAGCTTCCAGGACAGAGTCCAGTCTGAGGGGAAGCCCTTGTTGGCCAGACACAGGAGGGTAACCTGCTGCTGCTGCAGCTCCACACTGGAGGGGGGCAGCACTGTCAGGGTGGGGCGGGTATCACCTAGGAAACACCAATCAGGTTAGAGAACAGGAACCGCACACCTGCTAACCAGACAGCAGAAACTGGAACATCTTTACTGTGGGAGAAATGACTTTCTTTAAGATTCTTCAGTTGAACATTTTTCTGCTCCACCAGTTTCTCCCTCACACTCTGTTTCACTTCCCTTCACTGTGAACTCCTGCATATCAGCACATAGTCCTCATGTAACCTGAAATACACTAAACTAGAAAATGAGATTAAACATAAACTGAGCTCTACTTTCCCTCCCTTTCATAATACATCACATTAAATCTTAAGCAGGATCATTTTTAAAACCAAAATAAAAATTTTCTGATGTTCATCTTGGTAGACAATACTTCATTTTTTAAGTAAAAAATAGACATGAAACTTTTCATCATATTAACACTTACAGTAGACAAGCTGTTGGTCAAAAATGACGAGGAAAACTTGAAAATAATATATATGTATATATTGTATTACAGCAATTTTGAAACTGCAATATAAATATCAACAAATATTTTGATGTGTAATTTATTATTTTAACGTAAATGATCTTAATCCTACTTTTTTGTTGTTTAAAGCATTTAACAAGATTAAAATCCAGTTTGAAAAACATGTTCAGCATTATTTAAATGTTTCATTACATTTAATTAGTGAGATAGAAATGTGAAGTCCACAAATCCTTAGAAATGTTGAAAAAATAAATTACTCCATTCACCCTTTTCATGATCCTCTTATGATCATTCTCATAATTTATCTCACAATAAATGTTAAATATTCAGAAACTTACGTCCAACATCCAGCCTGGTTCCTCCACCAAAGTCCACCACAGTGATACAAACTAATTGAGTCGTCGTACAAAAACCTCAGACTGCAGAGACTCGGCTCTCTGACTCTGAACACAACAAACTGATTCTGACTGAAAACATTCAATGAGACTGAAGTCATATTTTCCCTTCATATAATAAATACAAAACTTTCTACCAGTGAGAAAATAATAATTATTTCTCTCTCGATGTTTCTATTTACTGGCACAACATGAAGTTTTCATCTCTGACTGAAGCAAATTAATATAAACCTAAATTATGGACGTTTCCAATTATATTAGTTTGTTTATCAACCTAACAACGAATTTCTGCTCATATTGTAATGAAATATGTGAAATATTCAACTTACTTCCAAACTCCAGCCTGGTTCCTCCACCAAACGTGTACCACAGTGATACAAACTGGTTGAGTCGTCGTACAAAAACCTCTGACTGCAGAGACACGGCTCTCTGACTCTGAACACAACAAACTCTAAATGAACAGTTTCAACCTGCAAAACACAGCTAGAAATTATATTTATTAATTATATTGTTTCTGATATCGACGGTCAATCATTTTGGTTTATTCCTCATAAACGTTTTTATTATAATCAGGGAATGTTCCACCACAGAAATATAGACATTTTTAACACTTATTTAGGGAGAGACATGAGCAAAGAAGTAAAAACATAACCTGTTGGAGACATAATCCTTATCAATATATGATAACTTTATTGCAGAAATGTTGAAACATTGCCACACAAGACTGTTTCCTTTTGATTCAATTCCTTCTCAGTGTTGGTGGCAGTAATATCTGTGGATCCAATCATCATTGTTGAACTTTGAACTTTAATGACATGCAGGTTTCAGTCTGATAAATATAATCAGCTCTGGAAACAAAATAGGAGACCACTGCAAATGATCAGTTCTCTTATTTTACTCTTTGTGGTATAAATTTGAGTAAATTGTTCTTTTATCCTTTGAACTAACAACATGTCTCTGAAATTAGAAACAAACATTTTGTATTTATTTGCAGAATAAAATTATAAAAATCAGAAAAAGATGCAAAGACTTTAGATCTGAAGTAATGGAAAGAAAACAAATTGATATTAATTTAGAAACAACAATACTAATGTTTTACCATGAGGTTTTCAATGTGGATCAAGACAGAGGTCTCTTAATTTTTAGAACTGTAAAGAAAACCCTTCAATGAACCAACTTAATAATTCATAGTGAAAACATGCCTGATGATTCAGGTACATTTTCCAATCTTTTACTTCTGGATAAATAGAATTAAGTAAAACTGTTATTTCTGTTTCTACAGGTTAATATTAATTTAAATACACAAAGTTCACCGGATTGTATCACAAACAATATTTATAAATTCATATATTCAACATACAGCTGAGCAGATTTGGCCTAACTGAGAATGACTGAGAACAAAATCTTCCATTCTGATATTTTCTATGTGTGGAATATAAATCAGCTGGTATCAGTGGGAAACGTCCGTCACTTTGGCTGCATTAAGACGACTAATGTTGTCAATAAATTTCACAATGAAATGTTTAAATAATCAGACATTTAAATTATAATATTTTTAACCGAAAAGATGATCAGTTAAATCAAACAGTTTTAGTTTGTTTTTCTTTATTGTACTTTTTGTGACAATCATATTTAAAAGCTTAAATGTTAGGATTGAGTTTCTACAGTCCACCAGTATGATTGAAAATTAGTCATTTTACTGGTTAAATCCTAAGAAACTCAATAATATACAGCTTAAAATTCAAACATTTGACAAAACATTCAAAACCAATTAAAAATGATTTATAATAAATTGAGCCAAGAATAAATTTAATCTTTTTTGCTTTCTAAAGTTAATTTATTCTATATAATACATGTTTTAATAGAGATTATTCATTTTGAGATCTAAGATCTCATTAACAGTATAGACCAGGTTTGAAATGACAAAACAGAAAATCAATTTACAAATCCATCAACAATACAAGTAACTAAAACGTTTGACTGAATTAAATCAGCTGATAAAAACATGTCTGAATTTGAAAAATGTACTTGTGAGACCAGAATGAATCCAAATCTATAATTGCAACGACATATTTGTAAAGCAAAAGGTTCATTATAAAATAATTATAAAACTCAATCTAAAGGATTCCATTCAAATCTTAAATAAACTGATTTGCATCAGCAGCTCCATGCTCCAGCGCTCTGGGAGAGTTTATAGTCCTGACAGTTGAACACTGGATGACTGACAGCTGTCCTTCATCACAACGAAGACACAGAAATCCTCCTCATCTAAAACATGACTTTGATCTGCGTCCTCATCTGGACTCTCCTCTGCTTCACTCAGGGTGAGGAAAATCATTTTTCTGTCATGTGAAAATCATTTGGAGTGTAGCTGAGTTTCACCATCTCATGTCCAGAGTTTCTCTCTCCTCAGGATCTGATGGACAAAATGTTGTTGTGACTCAATCAGCAGCCGAATCAGTGCAGCTCGGTCAGACGGTCACTATCGAGTGTACGGCCAGTCAGGCACTTTCAATATTTCAGTGTAACTCCAACTCGCAGGTCTGCCTGTCCTGGTACCATCAGAAACCTGGAGAAGCTCCTAAAGCTCTTATATATGGAATGTCATCCAGATTTTCAGGAATTTCCTCCAGATTCAGTGGAAGTGGAAAAGGAAATGGATTAGACTTCACTCTGACCATCAGTGGAGTTCAGGCTGAAGATGCAGGAGTTTATTACTGTCAGAGTTATCATTACATCAACAGTCAGAACGTGTTCACACAGTGAAAAATCACCGTACAAAAACCTCCCTCAGTTTGACTGAACAGAAACTGAACTATAAAGATGGAAGCTGCTGCAGAAGCCGACAGTTCACTGAACACACATCAGGTCCATGATATATAACTATAAAGCACAAGAACACAATCAGTGACAACATACATTTCTGCTACCATCCTCTGAAACTTTAAAAAATATAAAGAACAACTTTTAGTCACTTTTTTAATTCTTGGTCTGAGATTAAGCAAAGCATATTCAGCACAGATATGCTGATTTTTCCTGTTTTTGCCAAATCATGCAAAATTAATCATATCAAGCAGTCAGATCACAGAAATGAGAAAGATTCTGGTTCAAACGATAAAAAAAATACTTACATACAAAATAAATGTTTTCAGTCAGAAACTTGATCAAGTTGATCAGTAGATAAATTACAAAGTAGATTTTTTTTTAAATCAATAGTTATACTTTTGAAATGACACTAAGAATTACAAAGTTAACAAACTGGCACATCATTTTTAATGACATGTAGAGAAGAAAATGATAATGTGGTATTATAACACCACAAAGAGAAATACATTTAGATATTTCTTGACATTATCAGCAGTGTTGCAGCAGTGAGGAGGAAACCTGCTGCCGGTTCATCTCCAGCTGACTGAGTCTGTGTGTTTGCATATGTGTCCTGCCTCTCTGCTCCATCTGATAAGAGGTCAGAGTTGATCAGTGGCTGTCCAGGCCTTTCAGAGCCACTGACACACCAGCAGCACAATGATGATGTCACTGACTCCACTGCTGACCATCCTGGGGCTCCTGGTTCAGGGTGAGACTCTGAGAGAAACTTGTTTTTTACAGTCGTGCTCTATTATATTGGGTCACCCAAACACCAAAGACTTTCTTAGTTATTTTCCACATGCTGATGACCTTCTGTTCAGATCCTAATTCTTTTCTCTCTGTTGCAAAAATATCCCTTTTTGTATTTTCCAGGTTCATCAGGAGAAATAATAGTGACTCAAACTCCCGGATCTCATTCTGTTGCTGCAGGACAAACTGTCTCACTAAAATGTAAAACCAGTTCATATGTTGGTAGCTGGATCGCCTGGTACCTTCAGAAACCTGCAGAAGCTCCTAAAACTCCTGATTTATAGAGCTACATCTCGTCAGTCTGGAGTTCCAGCTCGGTTCAGTGGAAGTGGATCTGGTTCTGATTTCACTCTGACCATCAGTGGAGTTCAGGCTGAAGATTCAGGAGTTTATTACTGTCAGCAGGGTTATAACACACCGTTCACACAGTGATAGAACGTCGTACAAAAACCTTCAGCTGGAGAGGAACTGATCCGACTCAACAGCTGCACTGAAACTAAAACACAAAAAGTTTCCAGAAAAGTATTTATTCATTTGATAATTTTTACATTTAATTATTCATTTGATCTCATGTTTTTTTCTAGTATGTAGCTTTATCATTTTTAATGTTTTGTAATCTAAGTCAAAATAAAAATAAAAAATAATATATATATATATATATATATATATATATATATATATATATATACTTACAGTAGACCAGCTGTAGGGCAAAAATGACGAGGAAAATTTGAAAAACAATATATATATATTCTTTTACAACAATTTGAAACTGCAATATAAATATTATCAACCAATATTTTGATGTGTAATTTATTATTTCAACGTAAATGATCTTAATCCTATTTTTTTGTTGTTTGAAGCATTTAACAAGATTAAAATCCAGTTTGAAAAATAACATGTTTAAATACACTATTTAAATGTTTCATTACATTTAATTAGTGAGACAGAAATGTGAAGTCCACAATTCCTTAGAAATGTTGAAAAAATAAATTTCTCCAAACATCTTCCATGATCCTCTTATGATCTTCTTCATATTTATCTCCCAATAAATGTTAAATATTCAGAAACTTACGTCCAACATCCAGCCTGGTTCCTCCACCAAAAGTCCACCACAGTGATACAAACTAATTGAGTCGTCGTACAAAAACCTCTGACTGCAGAGACTCGGCTCTCTGACTTTGAACATAACAAACTGATTCTGACTGAAAACATTCAATGAGACTGAAGTCATATTTTCCCTTCATATAATAAATACAAAACTTTCTACCAGTGAGAAAATAATAATTATTTCTCTCTTGATGTTTCTTTTTACTGGCACAACATGAAGTTTTCATCTCAGACTGAGGCAAATTAATATAAACCTAAATTATGGACGTTTCCAATTATATTAGTTTGTTTATCAACCTAACAACGATGTTCTGCTCATATTGTAATGAAATATGTGAAATATTGAACTTACTTCCAAACTCCAGCCTGGTTCCTCCACCAAACGTGTACCACAGTGATACAAACTGGTTGAGTCGTCGTACAAAAACCTCTGACTGCAGAGACACGGCTCTCTGACTCTGAACACAACAAACTCTAAATGAACAGTTTCAACCTGCAAAACACAGCTAGAAATAATATTTATTAATATATTGTTTCTGATATCGACGGTCAATCAATTGGTTTATTCCTCATAAACATTTTTATTATAATCAGGGAATGTTCCACCACAGAAATATAGACATTTTTAACATTTATTTAGGGAGAGACATGAGCAAAGAAGTAAAAACATAACCTGTTGGAGACATAATCCTTATCAATATATGATAACTTTATTGCAGAAATGTTGAAACATTGCCACACAAGACTGTTTCCTTTTGATTCAATTCCTTCTCAGTGTTGGTGGCAGTAATATCTGTGGATCCAATCATCATTATTGAACTTTGAACTTTAATGACATGCAGGTTTCAGTCTGATAAATATAATCAGCTCTGGAAACAAAATAGGAGACCACTGCAAATGATCAGTTCTCTTATTTTACTCTTTGTGGTATAAATGTGAGTAAATTGTTCTTTTATCCTTTGAACTACTAACAACATGTCTCTGAAATTAGAAACAAAAATTTAGTATTTATTTGCAGAATAAAATTATAAAAATCAGGAAATGATGCAAAGACTTTAGATCTCAGATAATGGAAAGAAAACAAATTCATATTAATTTAGAAAGAACAATACTAATGTTTTACCATGAGGTTTTCAATGGGGATCAAGACAGAGGTCTCTTAATTTTTAGAACTGTACACAAAAACCCTTCAATGAACTAACTTCATAATTCATAGTGGAAAATATGCCTGAATGATTAAAGTATATTTTCCAATCTTTTACTTCTGGATAAATAGAATTAAAGTAAAAATTGTTATTTCTGTTTCTACAGGTTAATATTAATTTAAAGACACAAAGTTCACTGGATTGTATCACAAACAATAAATATAAATTCATATATTCAACATACAGCTGAGCAGATTTGGGCCTAACTGAGAATGACTGAGAACAAAATCTTCCATTATGATATTTTCTATGTGTGGAATATAAATCAGCTGGTATCAGTGGGAAACGTCCGTCACTTTGGCTGCATTAAGACGACAAATGGTGTCAATGAATTTCACAATGAAAATTTTAAATAATCAGACATTTAAATTATAATATTTTTAACCAAAAAGATGATCAGTTAAATGGAACAGCTTTAGTTTGTTTTTCTTCGTTGTACTTTTTCTGCCAATCATATTCAAAAGCTTAAATGTTAGGATTGAGTTTCTACAGTCCACCAGTATGATTGAAAATTAGTCATTTTACTGGTTAAATCCTAAGAAACTCAATAATATACAGCTTAAAATTCAAACATTTGACAAAACATTCAAAACCCAATTAAAAATGATTTATAATAAATTGAGCCAAGAATAAATTTAATCTTTTTTGCTTTCTAAAGTATATTTTATTCTATATCATAATGTGTTTTAATAGAAATTGTTTCTTTTGAGATCTAAGATGTCATTAACAGTATAGATCAGGTTTGAAATGACAAAACAGGAAAAATAATTTACAAACCCATCAACAATACAACTAAAACATTTGACTGAATTAAATCAGCTGATAAAAACATGTCTGAATTTGAAAAATGTTCTTGTGAGACCAGAATGAATCCAAATCTATAATTGCAATGACATATTTGTAAAGCAAAAGGTTCATTATAAAATAATCATAAAACTGAATCTAAAGGATTCCATTCAAATCTTAAATAAAGTGATTTGCATCAGCAGCTCCATGCTCCAGCGCTCTGGGAGAGTTTATAGTCCTGACAGTTGAACACTGGATGACTGACAGCTGTCCTTCATCACAACGAAGACACAGAAATCCTCCTCATCTAAAACATGACTTTGATCTGCGTCCTCATCTGGACTCTCCTCTGCTTCACTCAGGGTGAGGAAAATTATTTTTCTCTCATGTGAAAATCATTTGGAGTGTAGCTGAGTTTCACCATCTCATGTCCAGAGTTTCTTCTCTCTCCTCAGGATCTGATGGACAAAATGTTGTTGTGACTCAATCAGCAGCCAGATCAGTGCAGCTCGGTCAGACGGTCACTATTGACTGTAAGGCCAGTAGACAAGTATATCACTATTCTGGTTTACAGTACCTCCTGTCCTGGTACCATCAGAAACCTGGAGAAGCTCCTAAAGCTCTGATCTACTGGACATCAGACAGATTTTCAGGAATCTCCTCCAGATTCAGTGGAAGTGGAAAAGGAAATGGATTAGACTTCACTCTGACCATCAGTGGAGTTCAGGCTGAAGATGCAGGAGTTTATTACTGTATGAGTGATCACAATGACCCGTGTTTACACAGTGAAAAATCATCGTACAAAAACCTCCCTCAGTCTTACAACAGAAACTGAACTTTGTTTAGCAGCTGGAATCTGATGTAGAAACTGATACAGTTCATTAAACACTAACATTGAACACACAATAATTACTAACATCGCACAGAGTTACACTCTAAGAAAGAAAAGTTTAAAAGTCTATATTTCTTTATTTAACCATCTGATTTTCCCACTGTTACTTTATTTTAGTTCCGGATTAAATCATAAACAGAAAGATTAGTGTTTTAGAAAAATTTTAAAAATGTAAAATGATACTCATGAAAGTATTTAATGTTGAAAAGCAAAAGTCAGTGAGCTCAGATTTTAAAAAATATAGACTGAAACTGGAAGATTTTTTATTTTCTTTTTAAAATGATTTTATTGTTCTAATTAACCATCAATGTGTATTTTTGAAATATGTCTGGTCTGGCACTATCTCAGCATTTTCTAAGTCAATAGTTTTATAAATATATTTCTAACAGAATGGATTCATGTGGTTAATTTGAACCATTCAACCAAATAATTGAAAACGTCATAATAGTTTTACATTAAGGACAATTGGTGTTAATCTGTGGCTCATATAGATAATGTTAAAATACAGAAATTAAAATCAAGAAACTGCAGGACATAATCAACAGGAAGAATTTGATGAGTAAATATTTATTATCTGAACAGTGACCAACTTGACAAATCAAATATAAATCAGTGAAAATAGAGAATAATCAGCAGAGAAAGAGTGAGAGCAGTGACAGATTAAAGCCAGTATCAGAATGAGGTCAGGACTGGGAACACTGGTCTCTCCTCAGTGTCTCTGTGACTGCAGACTGGGAGTCCTGGGAGGTCAAAAAAACAAGAATATAGTTATTTTTTTCTGATCTCTTAATTTTACTTTGCATTATTTTATTTTATGTAATAAAAGTTTTGAAATACAGATTGTCCCTTTCAGATCCAATATCTAATTTATCAAATTGATCGGGTTTGAAATGACAGAATTTACAAAAACAGCAAAGATACAATTAATTAAAACATTTGACCCAAATAAATCTGTTAATGAACAAAGTATGTCTGAATTTAAACAATGTATTTATGTGACCAGGATTAACACAAATGTTAGCAGAGAAACACGTGTAAAGAAGCTTAAAAAAAATATGAACTATAATGAATTCAATCTAAAGGATTCCATTCAAATCTTAAATAAAGTGATTTGCATCAGCAGCTCCATGCTCCAGCGCTCTGGGAGAGTTTATAGTCCTGACAGTTGAACACTGGATGACTGACAGCTGTCCTTCATCACAACGAAGACACATAAATCCTCCTCATCTAAAACATGACTTTGATCTGCGTCCTCATCTGGACTCTCCTCTGCTTCACTCAGGGTGAGGAAAATCATTTTTCTGTCATGTGAAAATCATTTGGAGTGTAGCTGAGTTTCACCATCTCATGTCCAGAGTTTCTTCTCTCTCCTCAGGATCTGATGGGCAAAATATTGTTGTGACTCAATCAGCAGCCAAATCAGTGCAGCTCGGTCAGACGGTCACTATTGACTGTAAGGCCAGTAGACAAGTAGCTCTTCGCAATTCCCCGTCTGAATACTATCTGTCCTGGTATCTCCAGAAACCTGGAGAAGCTCCTAAACCTCTGATCTATAAAACATTCCGCACATTTTCAGGAATTTCCTCCAGATTCAGTGGAAGTGGAGCAGGAAATGGATTAGACTTCATTCTGACCATCAGTGGAGTTCAGGCTGAAGATGCAGGAGTTTATTACTGTATGAGTTATCACAGTGGCCCCGTGTTCACACAGTGAAAAATCACCGTACAAAAACCTCCCTCTGTCTTACAACAGAAACTGAACTTTGTTCTGCACCTGGAATCTGCTGCTGAAACTGATACAGTTCATTAAACACAAACACACTGAACACATATAAATAATTTAAAATATAATAAACAGAAGAAAACAACCAGTATCCAGGTCAATTCTTGGTATTCCTCTTCTGACAGATAAAGTTTTGATGAATAATTTCCAATCATCACATAAAGCAGAACACATTCTATAAATGACCAGGTTGAATATATATATATTCTTCTTCAGTCAAATGGAATCACTTAAATTATTCATATCTCAAAAATTAAAACTGTTCTGGTATTTAAGGATTATAAAAGTGGCAAAACACATGATAAACATTTTCTGTTACACATTTTATTGAGTAGATCTCAGGATTAATAACACAATAGAATATCTTTAAAATATATTGTTACTCTTTAATGATGCTAAAATTAATGTAACCTGAACAAACCTGTCATTTTATGACCATAATCAGAGTATAATAACACCATAAAGAGACACTTTTCAATATTCATTGACATTATCAGCAGTGTTGCAGCAGCAGTGAGGAGGAAACCTGCTGCCGGTTAATCTCCAGCTGACTGACTCTGTGTGTTTGCATATGTGTCCTGCCTCTCTGCTCCAGCTGTTAAGAGGTCAGAGTTGATCAGTGGCTGTCCAGGCCTTTCAGAGCCACTGACTCACCAGCAGCACAATGATGATGTCACTGACTCCACTGCTGACCATCCTGGGGCTCCTGGTTCAGGGTGAGACTCTGAGAGAAACTTGGTTTGAAGAAGATATGATAATTAAAATTCTGCTATTATGGAGAAATATTGAAACAAGATGTTATAGTTTTATTTTATCTATGCAGAGATTATCAATCATTGTTAACCAAACATAGTTTCTCTCACTTGATATTTTTGATGTTTTCCAGGTTCATCAGGAGACATCATCCTGACTCAGACTCCGGTTTCTCAGTCTGTTGCTCCAGGACAGACTGTCTCCATCAGATGTAAAGCCAGTTCAAGTGTTTATAGCTGGATCGCCTGGTACCTTCAGAAACCTGCAGAAGCTCCTAAACTCCTGATTTATTATATTACAACTCGTCAGTCTGGAGTTCCAGCTCGGTTCAGTGGAAGTGGATCTGGTTCTGACTTCACTCTGACCATCAGTGGAGTTCAGGCTGAAGATTCAGGAGTTTATTACTGTCAGCAGAGACAAAGCTACCCGATCACACAGTGATAGAACGTTGTACAAAAACCTCCTTCAGCTGGAGAGGAACTGATCCGACTCAACAGCTGCACTGAAACTAAAACATTGAAAGTTTCCAGAAATTATTTATTTATGTTTCTTTATTTTCTAGTTTTTAAGGTTATTTATTCATTCAAGCTTTTTTCACTAATATAGATTTTATATTTTTGACATCAATTTGGATCTGACACAAAAAATGATAAGAAAAATAATTCTTTCCCATTTGGTTAGGAATATTAAAGAAACAAAAAAATGTACTAGGAATTTCAACAGTTTATAGAAATGTTTTTTCAAATCATTTTTGTCCAAGTAGCCATTTTTGAGAAGGTTCTTACTTTTAATGGTGGTAGTTCCTAAATATTTTTCCCTAGCTTTAAAACTGTATTCCAAATATGTTTTTAAATTTAATAATAATTTACAGGACAATTGATTATTCTTGTGATAAATAGAGACGATGCCTCAAGAGATTAAAAGCAAAACATAAATAAGTAAAACAGTAGAACATAAATAAAATATTTAAAGCTGAATAAAAAAGCAGCTGCACACCGGAAGTTGATGAGTAAATATTTATTATCTGAACAGTGACAAACATGACAAAGCAAACATGACTCAGTGAAAATAGAGAATAATCAGCAGAGAAAGAGTGAGAGCAGTGACAGATTAAAGCCAGTATCAGAATCAGCTCAGGACTGGGAGCACTGGTCTCTCCTCAGTGTCTCTGTGACTGCAGGCTGGGAGCTCTGGGAGGCCTCACAGGTCACAGCCACCTTCCTCCACTGGTCTGCAGGGATCCTCAGGGTGCTGCTCCAGCTGTAGAGGCCGTCATTCTGCAGCACCCCGGGGCTCCTGCTCTGCTCCCAGCTGCTGCTGCTGCTGCCGTCCAGCTTCCAGGACAGAGTCCAGTCTGAGGGGAAGCCCTTGTTGGCCAGACACAGGAGGGTAACCTGCTGCTGCTGCAGCTCCACACTGGAGGGGGGCAGCACTGTCAGGGTGGGGTGGGTATCACCTAGGAAACACCAATCAGGTTAGAGATCAGGAACCGCACACCTGCTAACCAGACAGCAGAAACTGGAACATCTTTACTGTGGGAGAAATGACTTTCTTTAAGATTCTTCAGTTGAACATTTTTCTGCTCCACCAGTTTCTCCCTCACACTCTGTTTCACTTCCCTTCACTGTGAACTCCTGCATATCAGCACATAGTCCTCATGTAACCTGAAATACACTAAACTAGAAAATGAGATTAAACATAAACTGTGCTGCATTTTACCACCCTGTGATTATATGTTAAATTAAATGTTAAAAATAATATAGTTTTGAAACCTCTGAATCAAAACTATGTGATGGTCATCTTGGTAGATCATGTTTAACTTTTTTTTAAGTAATACATAAAATAAAGCAAAAAAACTGTCAATATTAATTTTTAAAGCAGGTCAGCAATTGAGCATAAATGATAATGAATACAATTTTTAAAATAACATACCTGCGATTTTAAAACTGTAATATGAAGATCATTACAAAACATTTTGAGATAGTTTAATGTGATTTTCATTCAAATTTTTTTTAGTTGAAACAATATAGAATTATTTAAAAAATGTTTGAAGAATAACATGTTCAGCATTATTTAAATGTTACAAAAACCTCTGACTCTGAACACAACAAACTGATTTGGGTTTAAAAAAACTACACGAGTCTTAAGTTATATTTTCACTCCACATAATGAACAAAAATCTTTTTCACAGAAATAAAATATAAATGTATTCCCTCTCGATAATCTTATTACTGTCCCAATCTGGAGTTTTCATCACTGACTAAAGCAAATGAATAAAAACCTAAATTATGGACGTTTCCAATTATATTAGTTTGTTGATGAACTTAACAACAATGTACCACTCATTTTAATGAAATACGTGAAATATTAAACTTACTTCCAACATCCAGCCTGGTTCCTCCACCAAACGTGAACCACAGTGATACAAACTGGTTGAGTCGTCGTACAAAAACCTCTAACTGTAGAGACATTAGTGTAAAAAAAACCTAATTTCTACAAGTCGAGGGCCGGACTGGTTCAATGTTTATTACCATATATTGAAATGATTGCATGTAGCTTATTGAACCAAGACCTAACACAGTGTATATTATTTAATAATTAAAATAATAAAGCAATATTTTGTTATGGCTCTGTCAGTAATATCAAGTAAAAACAATTTCAACAGACAAACAGCAAAAAACTTAATGTTTTTGAAAAACAACATGTTTCTTAATATCAAGATAAATACATAAATTAAAGTGCATGCATTATAAACTGAAAATGCATTATTGTGTTGCTCTATATTCTTGTCTTTGTCTGTGTGTTTCTGAGAAATTTAACAGATTATATTCTTAGATTACAGCCGAACTTTCTCCACAGAAAACAAAAAGGCAGTGAGGGCATAGTTACTTTGAAAAAGTAACCTTTCCTTTGTTGATTTGTGGGGGATTTTGTGAACAGATTTAACTGTAAAATCTTGCGTAATTTTTATGTAACTGTATTCCAGCATGGCAAGCTGTTGTTTTTTCTTTTTTTTTTTTTTCTTTCTTTCTTTCTTCTTTCTTTCTTCTTTCTTTCTTTCTTTCTTTCTTTCTTTCTTTCTTTCTTTCTTCTTTCTTTCTTCTTTCTTTCTTTCTTTCTTTCTTTCTTTCTTCTTTCTTTCTTTCTTTCTTTCTTTCTTTCTTTCTTTCTTTCTTTCTTCTTCAAAAATCTTACGCATTTCAACTCTCTTTATCACAGTAACTAAATAAGTTGCACTGTGTAATGTTTTTTTTTTTTTTCACATCAAACGTAATTTTAATTTGTTAAATATTTTAAAAACTTTATGTCAAAAAATGAGGGTCAATAAAGCGGTGTCAACATTTTTCCAGCCAAAAAAAGCTTTATAAACGAGGCAGATGTTTTCATATAATCACAAATGACAAAATGCTATTTAAAATATGCTATAAACTTGATAACTTGATTTGTAAAGTAACTATTTTAGTTACTTTCAGCAGCTGCTAACAACAGCACTCTGCCGCCTATGAAAATCACATTGATCTTTGCCAAAACTTAATTGAAAGTTACTTTATAATGGTAACATCAACAATGTGTCTCCAGTTATAAGGTTGAACTGAAGGGGAGATTGTCTCATGGTTACAACAGTTCAAAAAAGCTTTAGTAATCTGTGTGTGTTTTTGAATGTTTCTATTGTCTGGAAAAACTATAAATAGGATTTAGGGTCAATATTAACATTACCAAAGACACAGCGGGACGCTCATCTGGGAAATAATGGACTAAAACTAACTGGATGTCAGGCAAATTGTGGAATTATGTCTGCTTATTTACAAGCCCAAAAAGGAAGCCAGCAAGAGAACAAGCAAGGTATCTGTCTATCTAGATGTTTTTGGGCTGTGGGAGGAAGCCGGAGAACCCGGAGAGAGCCCACGCATGCACAGGGAACTCCGTGCAGAAAGACCCCGGGGCCGGGAATAGAACCCAGGACCTTCTTGCTGCAAGGCAACAGTGCTACCAACTGCGCCACCATATATATATATATATAATATATATATATATATATATATATATATATATATATATATATATATATATACACCGATACCCTATATATATATATATATATATATATATATATATATATATATATATATATATATATATATATATATATATATATATATATATATATTATATATATATATTATATATATATATATATATATATATATATATATATAGGGTATCGGTGTAAATACCAGAGGAGCCAAACACCAACTCCTCATAGACCGCACAGTTGCCCGAGACTGCAAAACCCGACACACCAACCTGTGCATGGCTTGGATCGATTTCAAGAAAGCCTATGACTCAATGCAGCATACTTGGATCATTGAATGCCTAGAGATGTATAACATCAACAGGACTCTGAGAGCCTTCATTGCAAAACTCGATGAGGCTGTGGAAAACCACCCTTGAAGCCAACTGCAAACCACTTGCACAAGTGTCCATCAAATGTGGCATATACCAAGGAGATGCTCTGTCCCTGCTACTGTTCTGCATAGGCCTGAACCCCCTCAGCCAAATATCAACAAGACTGGCTACGGATACCGACTCAAAAATGGGGCCAACATCAGTCACCTCCTCTACATGGATGACATCAAGCTGTACGCCAAGAGTGAGCGAGACATCGACTCACTGATCCACACCACCAGGATACACAGCACTGACATTGGGATGGCATTCGGACTAGAGAAGCGTGGTCGGCTGATCACAATGAGGGGGAAGGTGATCCGCACAGAAGGAGTCTCACTCCCACAAGGAACAATAGCAGACATAGAGGACAGTTACAAGTACCTTGGTATACCACAAGCAAATGGCAACCTCGATGAGGCCACAAGAAAAGGAGCCACAGCTAAATACCTCCAACGAATAAGGCAAGTCCAGAGAAGCCAGCTCAATGGCAAGAACAAAATCCGTGCGATAAACAGCTATGCCCTGCCAGTAATCAGATACCCTGCTGGAATAATCAGCTGGCCAAAGGAGGAGATAAAAGCCACAGATATTAAGACTAGAAAGCTACTAACCATGCATGGAGGGTTCCATCCCAAATCCAGCACCCTGAGACTGTACACGAGACGCAAGGAGGAGGCAGAGGACTAGTGAGTGTGAGAACCACTGTCCAGGACGAAACAACTAAGATCCATAAATACATCAGGGACAACGCCTCAACAGACAATGTGCTCAGTGAATGTCTCAGACAACAGGGAACGGAGGTTGAGGTGCCAGAGATACCATCATGGGAGGACAAGCCCCTACATGGGATGTACCACCAGCAAATAACCCAAGTGGCTGATATCAGTAATCCTACCAATGGCTGGAAAAAGCTGGACTCAAGGACAGCACAGAGGCCCTCATCCTGGCCGCCCAGGAACAGGCCCTAAACACCAGAGCAATAGAGGCCAGATCTACCACACCAGACAAGACCCAAGGTGTAGGTTGTGCAAGGAGGCCCCTGAGACAGTCCAGCACATAACAGCAGGGTGCAAGATACTGGCAGGGAAAGCATACATGGAGCGACATAACCAAGTGGCAGGCATTGTGTACAGAAACATCTGTGCAGAATATGGACTGGAAACCCCGAGATCAAAGTGGGAAACACCCCCAAAGGTGGTGGAGAACACCAGAGCTAAGATCCTGTGGGACTTCCAGATCCAGACAGACAAAATGGTAATGGCGAACCAACCAGACATTGTCGTAGTGGATAAACATCAGAGGAAAGCCGTTGTGGTTGATGTAGCAATACCAAGTGATTGCAACATCAGGAAAAAGGAGCACGAGAAACTGGAGAAATACCAGGGCCTCAGGGAAGAACTGGAGACGGCCTGGAAGGTGAAGACCACAGTGGTGCCTGTGGTCATCGGGGCCCTCGGGGCAGTAACCCCAAACTGGATCAATGGCTACAACAGATCCCAGGAACAACATCAGACATCTCAGTCCAGAAATGTGCAGTCCTTGGCACAGCCAAGATACTGCGCAGGACCCTCAAGCTCCCAGGCCTCTGGTAGAGGACCCGAGCTCAGAGGATAAGAACCACCCGCGGTGGGTGAGAAGGGAATTTTTTTATATATTTCTTGCCAAGAAAGACAAGATGTTTTCTAAATTTTTCCAATTTGTATATGTTTGGACCTCTAAAAGGCTGCTTTTGTTCCATGTTGTTCACGTTTCCTTTTTCCAAATCTCTCTTTAATTAATAAATGTGGTTGTCTTATTTTCTCTTTAGATTTAGAAATAAAAATGTTATGATAGATGAACTTGAGCACTGATTTTGTTGAACGTGGGGGAAGCCGGAGCACCCGGAGTGAACCCACACCTACATGGGGAGACATTTCCCCCCGTGTAGTCCTGGCTTTTTAATATTAAAATGTCCAATTAACAACAAAATCTCCTTTTCCAATCACTGCCAATCCCGTATAGACATAACTCGATGTCTACAAGGGATGGACTTTACATCGGTTTTTAAACCTGCGAAGAAGTGCTGGAGATAAAGCTTTTTTGATCCTCTTCCACAGAGAAACCTTTTTCATTGGTCTTTCTTCTTCTTCACATGTATCGGTATTCTCAGCCAACTCTTCTCCTGCTTGAGCTTGAGTCTTGAATTCCTGAGTTGACGTTGGACGACCTCATCATTTATTGTGACCTTTGGCTGCAGCGCAGCTGGTCTCTGGTTTTCCACTACACCACTCTCCCTTCTGTGTTAACTACAGGAACAAAACCTGTGACGTTTTCTGTGTCTGTACCAGGTTTTGGCTCCATGTCCTCAGGAACTGTCTGGGGGATCTCTGGTTCTATATCTAAATAAGTTTTTGGTTTTTTAGTCTCTTCAATCAAGTTTTTAGCAGTTTCCATTGGAATTACAACAACTCCCAGTTCAGCTCTACTTGCCATTTTCCTCTTTTTCTTACATTTAGATTTAGTCAATTCTTTTTCAATCATCTGCTGTGCTGTAGTCGTCGCTTCTTCTTTTGTTTGAGTCTCGGTTGTAACAGAGGCTGCCTGATCCCCAACTGTAGAAACCACTTGTTCACCTTCTACTCCAGAACTATTTTCATCACTAATCACTTTCAATTGAGAGGCAGCTTTTTTTGCTGCCATCCTCTTCTTCTTCCGTTTGGAGTTCTTGGATGTTTTTTTGTCTTCTTGCCGGTCCTCCAGTTGTTGGGTCTCAGAGTCTGATTCTTTTGCAATCATCTGCTGTACTGTAGTCGCCGCTTCTTCTTTTGTTTGAGTCTTGGTTGTATTGGAGGCTGTCTGATCACAAACTGTTTCTAATGTAGAAACATTTTCATGTTTGTTTATTTCAACAGAAACTTGATTTTTGTTCAGCATCTCCAGCTCAGACGAAGCTTTACTTGCTGCTTTTTTCCTGTTTTTCCGTCTAGTGTTCTTGGAAGGCTTTTTTCTATCTTCCAGGTGCCCATTTTGTTGAGTAGTGGGGACCATTTCTCCTTCGATCACTTCTGTTGTTTTATCAACAATCTCAGTCTGCATAGAAATCGTCTGATGGACTGGTACAAGGTGACGTCTGGTTTCAAACTCATTTATCTCGGTTTGTACCGCAGCAGACTGGTGATGGTCTGTTTTTGGGTGGTCTTGTGAGTCTGTCTGGGTTTGAACTGAAATCATTGAATTCCTTCTTTGCTTTCTTTCTGAGAGTAATTTGCTCGTCAGTTCCTTCTGTTGTTTAAGTTCAGCATTTAGTTCCTGATTGATTTCAAACATTTCATCAAGCTGTTTCATGAGATACGTCTGTACTTCAATATGTTCCAATACAGACTGCACATATGTGGCCAGACACGCACACTTTGGTGGACTTGTTTTCTTTTCTCCATGAATATTTTTTGCAGTTAGATTACCAGGAATCTCAGTTAAATTCGTTGATTTGACGTTTTCCTTGGGAACACCAGTAGCTGGACATTCGTCAGCTTTTTGTTCCAGCGTCTTCTGCAGTTTGAAGATGGGTTGGTCTTTGGTGACTAGCTGTGAAGTAGAAATGAGCGTCTTATCAGAATAACTTTCCTCTTTCAAGGAAGCGGGGACGTGTTCTTCCGACCAGGTTTTAAATGGTCCCTGGTTCTTCTCGTTGGACTCACTCTGAGGTGGCTGCATGTCCCCTTTTTGATCCACTGTCTCCAGTGCGTCAGTGACCGATTCATTTTCAACCACCACTGAAGAGTCCTGTTGTTCGATATTCTCAGCAGACTTCTTCAGGTCCTCGGCTTTGTGCAGCTCCCACCAGACTGCAAATGGCACCTTCTTCTTCTTGCGCTTCAGTGGCTTGGGTGGCTGTAATTCCCTTTCAGCAATGTTTCCGGATGCGACCTCTTCAACTCTAGGCTGGTTGGACTCCATTGTATCCTTTGCTTGATTCAGGTTTGTAAACTAAAATCACTTCTCTAGAAATTCGGTGAAGATTTCACGTTGAAAATCTCACTGCGATCTGCAAACTAAACTCTCAAGACAAACGTATCACCAACGGCTGCTAACAGGTTGTGACGACAGTAGATCGATGTGAGGAGCTTTTATAATCGCTGGTGATGTCAGAATTCTGCCTTTGGACTCACGTTGTGATGTCATAGTTTCAGAAAGTGTCAGTAGGCTTTTAAACTGTCACTGGTTGCTATAGTTACCAGTGATGTGCGGTCAGGTGACGCAGGTGAGGCTCATAATAAAATAATTTATTTTGCTATTTTCACCCTGCCCACTTAATAAATAAATATATATATTTATGTACACAATGTTTTACATTATGTAATTGTAAGATTACATATTAATTTTACAATTTAATGTGTAAAATTAACTTGTTTTGAAAAACTACATGTTTTTTGATATCAAGATAAAAACATAAATTAAAGTGCATGCATTATAAAATGAAAATGCATCATTGTGCTGCTCTATGATGTCCATATTCTTGTCTTTGTGTGTTTCTGAGAAGCTTGATAGATTATATTCTCCACAGGCAGTGATGGCATAGTTACTTTGAAAAAGTAACTTTAATCAGATTACTGAAAACATAACTTAGATTACTGATTACTTGATTTGGAAAGTAACTAAGTCACATTAAAAGTAACAGTTTTAGTTACTTTCAGCAGCTGCTAACAACAGCAATCTGCCACCCATGAAAATGACTTTGATCTTTGCCAAAACTTAATTGCAAGTTATTCTGTAATGTAACATAATTATAAAATAAGTTATAAGGTTGAACTACAGTACAAAAACACTTTAGTAATTTGTGTGTGTTTTTGAATGTTTCTATTGTCTGGAAAAACTATTAATAGGATTTTAGATTGCTTCCTTCTCTGTCCTGTGTCTTCTAGATCCATGATGAAGCATCATTATTGAGCTTTGAACTTAGATGACATGCAAACAGATTTCAGTCTGATAAATAAACAAAAAAAAATACATTTTTAAGATGTTACCTTCACACTAGAAGTGAAAAAGTAATGATCCAAAGATTAAAAGGCTTTATTGTCTGATCTTTTACTCCTTGAATTCATTAAAATTTAGACAAAATTAACAGTCACTTTTGTCCCTGGCTTCAGGATAATATTACTTTCAATACAGATTGTTCAAAAGAACAATAGCTATAAGTTCAGACATTCAATCTACAAACTAGCAGAACTGGGCCTAACTGGGCCCGAATCAGCTGGTGTCAGTGGGAGACGTTTGCCACATTGGATGCAATAAGATGACAAGTGGAGTGAAGAAATTTCAAAGCAATTGTCTACAAATGTTTAAACAATCAGGCTTTGAAATAATTAAAATGTTAAAATAATTTCAACACAAATAGTCTATATTCAATTTACCATAAATGACAACATTTATAGTGAAATGTTATTTTACCATAAAGCCTGAGAAACTCAAGAGTATATTCCATTTAACTGTTTTAAATAACATTCAAAAACATAATATAATAAACCAAGAATATGTTTAAGTTTTTCTGATATCTAATGTTTATTTGTTTTTATTTCATAAAGGTTTATTTTTACAGACTGACCCATTGAAGTCCAAGATTTCACTGCTCTGATAGACCTGCATTGATAAAACAAACAAATAAAGCAAAATATAGAAACAATATGAGGACCTTCTCTAAACAAATGACTCCGATAATTAAACTAGTTAAAAACCATGACTGAATTCAGACTAGAGAAGATGACTGTATACAGTTTATGCAAAAACTTGGTTGTATCCGGGTTCATATTATGTTTCCATACTTTCATGCAAAGCTCAGAAACTTTTTTATATTGAAACAAAGAAGAAGCAAACAATGAGACTTATTGAATCATATATTTGTATAAAAGTTATAAATGTTGAATTCGTGAAATGCTTTGAGCCGACATTTATTGTGAATTAATGAAATAGAATTAAATGTGAACATTAAAATGTTGCAGCAGTGAGGAGGAAACCTGCTGCCAGTTCATCTCCAGCTGACTGACCCTGTGTGTTTGCATATGTGTCCTGCCTCTCTCCAGCTGTTAAGAGGTCAGAGTTGATCAGTGGCTGTCCAGGCCTTTCAGAGCCACTGACACACCAGCAGCACAATGATGATGTCACTGACTCCACTGCTGACCATCCTGGGCTCCTGGTTCAGGGTGAGACTCTGAGAGAAACTTGGTTTGAAGAAGATATGATAATTAAAATTCTGCTATCAGAGAGAAATATTGAAACAAGATGTTAAAGTTTTATTTGATCTACTCAGAGATTATCAATCATTGTTAACCAAACATAGTTTCTCTCAATTTTTATTTTTTGATGTTTTCCAGGTTCATCAGGAGACATCATCCTGACTAGGACTCCTGGATCTCAGTCTGTTGCTGCAGGACAAACTGTCACCATCAGATGTAAAACCAGTTCATATGTTGGTAACAATCTCCACTGGTACCTTCAGAAACCTGCAGAAGCTCCTAAACTCTTAATTTATGATAGTGCAACTCGTCAGTCTGGAGTTCCAGCTCGTTTCAGTGGAAGTGGATCTGGTTCTGACTACACTTTGACCATCAGTGGAGTTCAGGCTGAAGATACAGGAGTTTATTACTGTCAGCAGGGTTGGAGCTCACCGTTCACACAGTGATAGAACGTCGTACAAAAACCTCCTTCAGCTGGAGAGGAAACTGATTCAACTCAACAGCTGCACTGAAACTAAAACACTGAAGTTTCCACAAATCATTTATTTATGTTTCTTAATTTTCTAGTTTTTAAGGTTATTTATTCATTCAAGCTTTTTCCACTAATATAGATTTTTTATTTTTGACGTCAATTTGGATCTGACACAAAAAATAATAAGAAAAATAATTCTTTCCCATTTGGTTAGGAATATTAAAGAAACAAAAAAATGTACTAGGAATTTCAACAGTTTATAGAAATGTTTTTTCAAATCATTTTTGGTCCAAGTAGCCATTTTTGAAAAGGTTCTTACTTCTGATGATGGTAATTCCTAAATATTTTTCCTGAGCTTTAAAACTGTATTCCAAATATGTTTTTAAATTTAATAATAATTTACCGGACATTCGATTCTATTCTTGTAATAAATAGACACGATGCCTCAAGAGATTAAAAGCAAAACATAAAGAAGTAAAACAGTAGAACATAACTAAAATATTTAGAGCTGATTAAAAAAGCAGCTACACACCAGAAGTTGATGAGTAAATATTTATTATCTGAACAGTGACAAACATGACAAAGCAAACATGACTCAGTGAAACTTCAGAATAATCAGCAGAGAAAGAGTGAGAGCAGTGACAGATTAAAGCCAGTATCAGAATCAGCTCAGGACTGGGAACACTGGTCTCTCCTCAGTGTCTCTGTGACTGCAGGCTGGGAGCTCTGGGAGGCCTCACAGGTCACAGAGCCCACCTTCCTCCACTGGTCTGCAGGGATCCTCAGGGTGCTGCTCCAGCTGTAGAGGCCGTCATTCTGCAGCACCCGGGGCTCCTGCTCTGCTCCCAGCTGCTGCTGCTGCTGCCGTCCAGCTTCCAGGACAGAGTCCAGTCTGAGGGGAAGCCCTTGTTGGCCAGACACAGGAGGGTAACCTGCTGCAGCTCCACACTGGAGGGGGGCAGCACTGTCAGGGTGGGGCGGGTATCACCTAGAAGACACCAATCAGGTTAGAGAACAGGAACCGCACACCTGCTAACCAGACAGCAGAAACTGGAACATCTTTACTGTGGGAGAAATGACTTTCTTTAAGATTCTTCAGTTGAACATTTTTCTGCTCCACCAGTTTCTCCCTCACACTCTGTTTCACTTCCCTTCACTGTGAACTCCTGCATATCAGCACATAGTCCTCATGTAACCTGAAATACACTAAACTAGAAAATGAGATTAAACATAAACTGAGCTCTACTTTCCCTCCCTTTCATAAAACATCACATTAAATCCTAAACAGGATCATTTTTAAAACCAAAATAAAAACTTTCTGATGTTCATCTTGTTAGACAATACTTAATTTTTTAAGTAAAAATATAGACATGAAACTTTTCATCATATTAACACTTACAGTAGACCAGCTGTAGGGCAAATGTGACGAGGAAAATTTGAAAAACAATATATATGTTTATATTGTATTACAGCAATTTTGAAACTGCAATATAAATATCAACAAATATTTTGATATGTAATTTTTTTTTAACGTAAATGATCTTAATCCTATTTTCTTTGTTGTTTAAAGCATTTAACATTAAAATCCAGTTTGAAAAATAACATGTTCAGCATTATTTAAATGTTTCATTACATTTAATTAGTGAGACAGAAATGTGAAGTCCACAATTCCTTAGAAATGTTGAAAAAATAAATTTCTCCAAACATCTTCCATGATCCTCTTCTGATCTTTTTCATATTTATCTCACAATAAATGTTAAATATTCAGAAACTTACGTCCAACATCCAGCCTTGTTCCTCCACCAAACGTGTACCACAGTGATACAAACTAATTGAGTCGTCGTACAAAAACCTCTGACAGAGACTCGGCTCTCTGACTCTGAACACAACAAACTGATTCTGACTGAAAACATTCAATGAGTCTGAAGTCATATTTTCCCTTCATATAATAAATACAAAACTTTCTACCAGTGAGAAAATAATAATTATTTCTCTCTTGATGTTTCTTTTTACTGGCACAACATGAAGTTTTCATCTCTGACTGAAGCAAATTAATATAAACCTAAATTATGGACGTTTCCAATTATATTAGTTTGTTGATGAACTTAACAACAATGTACCGCTCATATTTTAATGAAATACGTGAAATATTAAACTTACTTCCAACATCCAGCCTGGTTCCTCCACCAAACGTGTACCACAGTGATACAAACTGGTTGAGTCGTCGTACAAAAACCTCTAACTGTAGAGACACCGATGTAAAAAAAAAAACTAATTTCTACAAGTCGAGGGCCGGACTGGTTCAATGTTTATTACCATATATTGAAATGATTGCATGTAGCTTATTGAACCAAGATCTAACACAGTGTATATTATTTAATAATTAAAAGAATAAAGCAATATTTTGTTATGGCTCTGTCAGTAACCTCAAGTGAAAACATTTTCAACAGACAAACAGCAAAAAACTTAATGTTTTTGAAAAACAACATGTTTCTTAATATCAAGATAAATACATAAATTAAAGTGCATGCATTATAAACTGAAAATGCATTATTGTGTTGCTCTATATTCTTGTCTTCGTCTGTGTGTTTTTGAGAAGCTTAATAGATTATATTCTTAGATTACAGCCGAACTTTCTCCACAGAAAACAAACAGGCAGTGAGGGCATAGTTACTTTGAAAAAGTAACCTTTCCTTTGTTGATTTGTGGGATTTTGCATAAACAGATTTAACTGTAAAGAACAAGAAAGAAAGAAAAATTTAGTATTTATTTGCAAAATAAAATCATAAAAATCATAAAAAGATGCAAAGGCTTTAGATCTCAATCAATGGAAAGAAAACAAATTCATATTAATTTAGAAACATCAATACTAATGTTTTACCATGAGGTTTTCAATGGGGATCGAGACAGAGGTCTCTTAATTTTTAGAACTGTAAAGAAAAACCCTTCAATGAACTAACTTCATAATTCATAGTGGAAAACATGCCTGAATGATAAAGGTATATTTTCCAATCTTTTACTTCCGGATAAATAGAATTAAAGTAAAAACTGTTATTTCTGTTTCTACAGTTTAATATTAATTTAAATACACAATGTTCACTGGATTGTAGCACAAACAATATATATATAAATTCGTATATTCAACATACAGCTGAGCAGATTTGGGCCTAACTGAGAATGACTGAGAACAAAATCTTCCATTATGATATTTTCTATGTGTGGAATATAAATCAGCTGGTATCAGTGGGAAACGTCCGTCACTTTGGCTGCATTAAGACGACAAATGGTGTCAATGAATTTCACAATGAAATATTTAAATAATCAGACATTTAAATTGAAATATTTTTTACCGAAAAGATGATCAGTTAAATCAAACAGTTTAATTTGTTTTTATTTATTGTACTTTTTGTGACAATCATTTTCAAAAGCTCAAAAGTTAGGATTGAGTTTCTACAGTCCACCAGTATGATTGAAAATTAGTCATTTTACTGGTTAAATCCTAAGAAACTCAATAATATACAGCTTAAAATTTAAACATTTGACAAAACATTCAAAACCCAATTAAAAATGATTTATAATAAATTAAGACGAGAATAAATTTAATGTTTTTTGATTTATAAAGTTCATTTTATTCTATATAATACATGTGTTTCAATAGAGATTATTTATTTTGAGATCTAAGATCTCATTAACAGTATAGACCAGGTTTGAAATGACAAAACAGAAAAAACAATTTACAATCCCATCAACAATACAAGTAACTAAAACATTTGACTGAATTAAATCAGCTGATAAAAACATGTCTGAATTTGAAAAATGTACTTGTGAGACCAGAATTAATCCAAATCTATAATTGCAATGACATATTTGTAAAGCAAAAGTTTCATTATAGAATAATCATAAAACTCAATCTAAAGGATTCCATTCAAATCTTAGATAAACTGATTTACATCAGCAGCTCCATGCTCCAGCGCTCTGGGAGAGTTTATAGTCCTGACAGTTGAACACTGGATGTGACAGCTGTCCTTCATCACAACGAAGACACAGAAATCCTCCTCATCTAAAACATGACTTTGATCTGCGTCCTCATCTGGACTCTCCTCTGCTTCACTCAGGGTGAGGAAAATCATTTTTCTGTCATGTGAAAATCATTTGGAGTGTAGCTGAGTTTCACCATCTCATGTCCAGAGTTTCTTCTCTCTCCTCAGGATCTGATGGACAAAATGTTGTTGTGACTCAATCAGCAGCCGAATCAGTGCAGCTCGGTCAGACGGTCACTATCGAGTGTAAGGCCAGTAGACAAGTAGCTCTATGCACTTCTCCATCTGGTTACTGCCTGTCCTGGTACCATCAGAAACCTGGAGAAGCTCCTAAAGCTCTTATATATGGAACATCGTCCAGATTTTCAGGAATCTCCTCCAGATTCAGTGGAAGTGGAAAAGGAAATGGATTAGACTTCACTCTGACCATCAGTGGAGTTCAGGCTGAAGATGCAGGAGTTTATTACTGTCAGAGTTATCATTACATCAACAGTCAGAATGTGTTCACACAGTGAAAAATCACCGTACAAAAACCTCCTTCAGTCTTACAACAGAAACTGAACTTTGTTCTGCTCCTGGAATCTGCTGCTGAAACTGATACAGTTCATTAAACACAAACACACAGAACACACATATTAATAATTTAAAATATAATAAACAGAAAAAAAAACAATATCCAGGTCAATTCTTGGTATTCCTCTTCTGACAGATAAAGTTTTGATGAATAATTTCCAATCATGACATGAAGCAGAGCACATTCTATAAACGACCAGGTTGAATATATATATATTTTCTCCAGTTAAATGGAATCACTTAAATTATTCAGATCACAGACATTAAAACTGTTCTGGTATTTAAGGATTATAAAAGTGTCAAAACAAATGAAAAACATTTTCAGTTACACATTTTATTGAGTAGATCTCAGGATTAATAACACAATAGAATATCTTTAAAATAAATTTTACTCTTTAAATGATACTAAAATTACTGTAACCTCAACAAACCTGTCATTTTATGACCATAATCAGAGTATAATAACACCATAAAGAGACACTTTTCTATATTTATTGACATTATCAGCAGTGTTGCAGCAGTGAGGAGGAAACCTGCTGCCGGTTCATCTCCAGCTGACTGACTCTGTGTGTTTGCATATGTGTCCTGCCTCTCTGCTCCAGCTGTTAAGAGGTCAGAGTTGATCAGTGGCTGTCCAGGCCTTTCAGAGCCACTGACACACCAGCAGCACAATGATGATGTCACTGACTCCACTGCTGACCATCCTGGGGCTCCTGGTTCAGGGTGAGACTCTGAGAGAAACTTGGTTTGAAGAAGATATGATAATTAAAATTCTGCTATCAGAGAGAAATATTGAAACAAGATGTTAAAGTTTTATTTTATCTATGCAGAGATTATCAGTCATTGTTAATCAAACATAGTTTCTCTCAATTTTTATTTTTTATGTTTTCCAGGTTCATCAGGAGACATCATCCTGACTCAAACTCCTGAATCTCAGTCTGTTGCTGCAGGACAAACTTTCACCATCAGATGTAAAACCAGTTCAAGTGTTAGTAGCTATCACTGGTACCTTCAGAAACCTGCAGAAGCTCCTAAACTCCTGATTTATTATGCTACAACTCGTCAATCTGGATTTCCAGCTCGGTTCAGTGGAAGTGGATCTGGTTCTGACTTCACTCTGACCATCAGTGGAGTTCAGGCTGAAGATTCAGGAGTTTATTACTGTCAGCAGGGTAGCATGTTTCCACTCACACAGTGATAGAACGTCGTACAAAAACCTTCAGCTGGAGAGGAACTGATCCAACTCAACAGCTGCACTGAAACTAAAACACTGAAAGTTTCCATAAATTATTATTATGTTTCTTAATTTTCTAGTTTTTTTTTATTTTTTTATTTTATTCATTCAAGCTTACTCCACTAATTTATATTTCTAATTTTTTATGTCAATTTGGATCTGACACACAAAAAATAAAAATAAAAATAATTCTTTCCCATTTGGTTAGGAATACTAAAGAAACATAAAAGCACTAGAAGTTTAAACCGTTTATAGAAATGTTTTTTCAAATCATTGTTTGTTCCAAGGAGCCATTTTGAAAAACCTTTGACTTTTGATGATAATAGTTCCTAAATATTTTTTTCAAAAGTAAAAATTTGGATTGTTTGGCAGTTGAATTGTTTTAAAAAGATCCCAATTCTTTGTTGGGATCTTTTCCTTTTGGATAAATCAAGTCATGAATAAAAGTTTGAGAATGGAAACAACAAACCCTTGGAAAATAGTTTGAATAGAAAAAAAAGATGTTGCAGCAAAAAGATTGTTTTAGTTATACACATCAGAAAGTTCATTAAGATAAAAAAAATACTAGATCTACAGAGAATTCCTTCAGTTGTGTTTGCTATTTTGTTAGAACAATTAAAGAAACAAAAAATGCACTAGGAGTTTAAATAACTACTATTTTTTAAATGTTTTTTCAAATCATTTTTGGTCCAAGTAGCCATTTTTGAAAAGGTTCTTACTTTTAATGGTGGTAGTTCCTAAATATTTTTCCCTAGCTTTAAAACTGTATTCCAAATATGTTTTTAAATTTAATGATGATTTGCAGGATATTTAATTCTATTCTTGTGATAAATAGAGACGATGCCTCAAGAGATTAAAAGCAAAACATAAAGAAGTAAAACAGTAGAACATAACTAAAATATTTAGAGCTGATTAAAAAAGCAGCTACACACCAGAAATTGATGAGTAAATATTTATTATCTGAACAGTGACAAACATGACAAAGCAAACATGACTCAGTGAAAATAGAGAATAATCAGCAGAGAAAGAGTGAGAGCAGTGACAGATTAAAGCCAGTATCAGAATCAGGTCAGGACTGGGAACACTGGTCTCTCCTCAGTGTCTCTGTGACTGCAGGCTGGGAGCTCTGGGAGGCCTCACAGGTCACAGAGCCCACCTTCCTCCACTGGTCTGCAGGGATCCTCAGGGTGCTGCTCCAGCTGTAGAGGCCGTCATTCTGCAGCACCCCGGGGCTCCTGCTCTGCTCCCAGCTGCTGCTGCTGCTGCCGTCCAGCTTCCAGGACAGAGTCCAGTCTGAGGGGAAGCCCTTGTTGGCCAGACACAGGAGGGTAACCTGCTGCTGCTGCAGCTCCACACTGGAGGGGGCAGCACTGTCAGGGTGGGGCGGGTATCACCTAGGAAACACCAATCAGGTTAGAGAACAGGAACCGCACACCTGCTAACCAGACAGCAGAAACTGGAACATCTTTACTGTGGGAGAAATGACTTTCTTTAAGATTCTTCAGTTGAACATTTTTCTGCTCCACCAGTTTCTCCCTCACACTCTGTTTCACTTCCCTTCACTGTGAACTCCTGCATATCAGCACATAGTCCTCATGTAACCTGAAATACACTAAACTAGAAAATGAGATTAAACATAAACTGAGCTCTACTTTCCCTCCCTTTCATAATACATTACATTAAATCTTAAGCAGGATCATTTTTAAAACCAAAATAAAAACTTTCTGATGTTCATCTTGTTAGACAATACTTCATTTTTTAAGTAAAAAAATAGACATGAAATTTTTCATCATATTAACACTTACAGTAGACCAGCTGTTGAGCTAAAATGACGAGGAAAATTTGAAAAACAATATATATGTGTATATTGTATTACAGCAATTTTGAAACTGCAATATAAATATCAACAAATATTTTGATATGTAATTTTTTTTTAACGTATATGATCTTAATCCTATTTGTTTTGTTGTTTAAAGCGTTTAACAACATTAAAAACCAGTTTGAAAAATAACATGTTCAGCATTATTCAAATGTTTCATTACATTTAATTAGTGAGACAGAAATGTGAAGTCCACAATTCCTTAGAAATGTTGAAAAAATAAATTACTCCATTCACCCTTTCATGATCCTCTTATGATCTTTTTCATATTTATCTCACAATAAATGTTAAATATTCAGAAACTTACGTCCAACATCCAGCCTGGTTCCTCCACCAAAAGTCCACCACAGTGATACAAACTAATTGAGTCGTCGTACAAAAACCTCTGACTGCAGAGACTCGGCTCTCTGACTCTGAACACAACAAACTGATTCTGACTGAAAACATTCAATGAGACTGAAGTCATATTTTCTCTTCATATAATAAATACAAAACTTTCTACCAGTGAGAAAATAATAATTATTTCTCTCTTGATGTTTCTATTTACTGGCACAACATGAAGTTTTCATCTCTGACTGAAACAAATTAATATAAACCTAAATTATGGACGTTTCCAGTTATATTAGTTTGTTTATCAACCTAACAACGAAGTTCTGCTCATATTGTAATAAAATATGTGAAATATTCTACTTACTTCCAACATCCAGCCTGGTTCCTCCACCAAACGTGTACCACAGTGATACAAACTGGTTGAGTCGTCGTACAAAAACCTCTGACTGCAGAGACACGGCTCTCTGACTCTGAACACAACAAACTCTAAATGAACAGTTTCAACCTGCAAAACACAGCTAGAAATTATATTTATTCATTATATTGTTTCTGATATCGACGGTCAATCATTTTGGTTTATTCCTCATAAAGGTTTTTATTATAATCAGGGAATGTTCCACCACAGAAATATAGACATTTTTAACATTTATTTAGGGAGAGACATGAGCAAAGAAGTAAAAACATAACCTGTTGGAGACATAATCCTTATCAATATATGATAACTTTATAGCAGAAATGTTGAAACATTGCCACACAAGACTGTTTCCTTTTGATTCAATTCCTTCTCAGTGTTGGCGGCAGTAATATCTGTGGGTCCAAGCATCATTATTGAACTTTGAACTTTAATGTCATGCAGGTTTCAGTCTGATAAATATAATCAGCTATGGAAACAAAATAGGAGACCACTGCAAATGATCAGTTCTCTTATTTTACTCTTTGTGGTATAAATGTGAGTAAATTGTTCTTTCATCCTTTGAACTACTAACAACATGTCTCTGAAATTAGAAACAAACATTTTGTATTTATTTGCAGAATAAAATTATAAAAATCAGAAAAAGATGCAAAGACTTTAGATCTGAAGTAATGGAAAGAAAACAAATTCATATTAATTTAGAAACATCAATACTAATGTTTTACCATGAGGTTTTCAATGGGGATCGAGACAGAGGTCTCTTAATTTTTAGAACTGTAAAGAAAAACCCTTCAATGAACTAACTTCATAATTCATAGTGGAAAATATGCCTGAATGATAAAGGTATATTTTCCAATCTTTTACTTCCGGATAAATAGAATTAAAGTAAAAACTGTTATTTCTGTTTCTACAGTTCAATATTAATTTAAATACACAATGTTCACCGGATTGTAGCACAAACAATAATATAAATTCATATATTCAACATACAGCTGAGCAGATTTGGGCCTAACTGAGAATAACTGAGAACAAAATCTTCCATTATGATATTTTCTATGTGTGGAATATAAATCAGCTGGTATCAGTGGGAAACGTCCGTCACTTTGGCTGCATTAAGACGACAAATGGTGTCAATAAATTTCACAATGAAATGTTTAAATAATCAGACATTTAAATTATAATATTTTTAACCGAAAAGATGATCAGTTAAATCAAACAGTTTTAGTTTGTTTTTCTTTATTGTACTTTTTGTGACAATCATTTTCAAAAGCTCAAAAGTTTAGATTGAGTTTCTACAGTCCACCAGTATGATTTAAAAATGATTTATAATAAATTAAGACGAGAATAAATTTAATGTTTTTTGATTTATAAAGTTCATTTTATTCTATATAATACATGTGTTTCAATAGAGATTATTTATTTTGAGATCTAAGATCTCTTTAACAGTTTAGACCAGGTTTGAAATGACAAAACAGAAAATCAATTTACAAACCCATCAACAATACAAGTAACTAAAACATTTGACTGAATTAAATCAGCTGATAAAAACATGTCTGAATTTGAAAAATGTACTTGTGAGACCAGAATGAATCCAAATCTATAATTGCAACGACATATTTGTGAAGCAAAAGGTTCATTATAAAATGATTATAAAACACATTCTAAGTGATTTTATTCAAATGTTAAATAAAGTGATTTGCATCAGCAGCTCCATGCTCCAGCGCTCTGGGAGAGTTTATAGTCCTGACAGTTGAACACTGGATGACTGACAGCTGTCCTTCATCACAACGAAGACACAGAAATCCTCCTCATCTAAAACATGACTTTGATCTGCGTCCTCATCTGGACTCTCCTCTGCTTCACTCAGGGTGAGGAAAATCATTTTTCTGTCATGTGAAAATCATTTGGAGTGTAGCTGAGTTTCACCATCTCATGTCCAGAGTTTCTTCTCTCTCCTCAGGATCTGATGGACAAAATGTTGTTGTGACTCAATCAGCAGCCAGATCAGTGCAGCTCGGTCAGACTGTCACTACTGAGTGTAAGGCCAGTGTTCAACTACAAGGTTGTAGCCCACCTTGTCTTTCCTGGTACCACCAGAAACCTGGAGAAGCTCCTAAAGCTCTTATATATGTAACATCATCCAGATTTTCAGGAATCTCCTCCAGATTCAGTGGAAGTGGAAAAGGAAATGGATTAGACTTCACTCTGACCATCAGTGGAGTTCAGGCTGAAGATGCAGGAGTTTATTACTGTATGAGTTATCATTACATCAACAGTCAAAGTGTGTTCACACAGTGAAAAATCACCGTACAAAAACCTCCCTCAGTCTTACAACAGAAACTGAACTTTGTTCTGCACCTGGAATCTGCAGATGCAGAAACTGATACAGTTCATTAAACACAAACATTGAACACACATATTAATAATTTAAAATATAATAAACAGAAGAAAACAACCAGTATCCAGGTCAATTCTTGGTATTCCTCTTCTGACAGATAAAGTTTTGATTAATAATTTCCAATCATGACATAAAGCAGAACACATTCTATAAACGACCAGGTTGAATATATATATATTTTCTCCAGTTAAATGGAATCACTTAAATTATTCAGATCACAGACATTAAAACTGTTCTGGTATTTAAGGATTATAAAAGTGTCAAAACAAATGATAATCATTTTCAGTTACACATTTTATTGAGTAGATCTCAGGATTAATAACACAATAGAATATCTTTAAAATATATTGTTACTCTTTAATTGATACTAAAATTACTGTAACCTGAACAAACCTGTCATTTTATGACCATAATCAGAGTATAATAACACCATAAAGAGACACTTTTCAATATACATTGACATTATCAGCAGTGTTGCAGCAGTGAGGAGGAAACCTGCTGCCGGTTCATCTCCAGCTGACTGACTCTGTGTGTTTGCATATGTGTCCTGCCTCTCTCCAGCTGTTAAGAGGTCAGAGTTGATCAGTGGCTGTCCAGGCCTTTCAGAGCCACTGACACACCAGCAGCACAATGATGATGTCACTGACTCCACTGCTGACCATCCTGGGGCTCCTGGTTCAGGGTGAGACTCTGAGAAAAACTTGGTTTGAAGAAGATATGATGATTAAAATTCTGCTATCAGAGAGAAATATTGAAACAAGAAGTTAATGATTTATTTGATCTACTCAGAGATTATCAATCATTGTTAATCAAACATAATTTCTCTCAATTTTTATTTTTTATGTTTTCCAGGTTCATCAGGAGACATCATCCTGACTCAGACTCCTGGATCTCAGTCTGTTGCTGCAGGACAAACTGTCTTCATAAAGTGTAAAACCAGTTCAAGTGTTAATAGCAATCTCGACTGGTTCCTTCAGAAACCTGCAGAAGCTCCTAAACTCCTGATTTATTATGCTACAACTCGTCAGTCTGGAGTTCCAGTTCGGTTCAGTGGAAGTGGATCTGGTTCTGACTTCACTCTGACCATCAGTGGAGTTCAGGCTGAAGATTCAGGAGTTTTTTACTGTCAGCAGAGACAAAGCTTCCCACTCACACAGTGATAGAAAGTCGTACAAAAACCTTCAGCTGGAGAGGAACTGATCCGACTCAACAGCTGCTAGGAAACTGAAACACTAAAAGTATCCAGTACTAATATAATGTCAATAATAATTATGAAGAACCTGTTTAAATATCTATTTACCCATTTTCTTTTCTCACTGAGTAGATTTTTATTTTTTAGGTCTTTTGAATACATTAGTGAGCTTTTATGACTGAAAAAACAAATAATTGTAAAACAACATTTTTGTGATTATTTCAATTTGTTCAAGTGACCAAGTGTTGAACAGTGAGTCAGTAAATGACTTCAATTCTGCTTGACTTTAAAGATTCCTATAAATAAAAAACTGGTCAGATTTGATCAGTGTCAGTTCAGACCTTTCACAGCCACTGACACAGCAATAAGACTATTTAAAATTTTCTTCTGTCAAATAATTTACTTTTTAAAATTAGTCTTAAAAAATACTGATATCTTGGTAAAATTTACTGTCATGTGTTTAATGAGAAAGATGCACAATTGGTTTAGCTCATTTATATGAACTGCATAATAATGTTACATGAAGCAAAATATAAGTAAATTCCACTCTGTGGAATAAAACAATTTTTGTTTATGACATGAATTATAAAATTCACAGCTAAAACTAACTGGAAGAGAAACATAGAGAAACAAGTTGGACACCAGAAGTTGATGAGTAAATTATAACGATTATAAATTACTTAAAAGACGTAGTTTTTTGTTTTGTAACTTTGACATTTCTATAAAACAAAATACTAGAATAGGAGATATGATTTATTATTTATTGTGTGTCACGTGGAAGATAAATTTTTTTGATGTATTTTCCACAATGTGCTATGAGTAAAATGTGTTCATACTGGTATAAAATTGACTCAAATGGTTCTTTTTCATTATCATTTCACTCACACTGACCAACATTAATAACTACAGTTATTCTTCATAAAACGAATCATCACTCTACATAACATCTTTAACAAAATAATAAAATCTGGATAGGCACTGTCTTTTTTATTCTCAGAAAAATATAGTTTTGCCAAGAAAATATGAATAAAAAACACTTTGAGTGTGCAGTCCCTCAGTGTTTTCACTGCAAAAAACCCTGAATAAAAATACTGAAAAACTCAGACATGTACATTTTAATTTTATTTTATGTTATATGAACACATTCCAAGGCTGTTGAAGGCTCCATTGGACAGAAGATGTTTGGATTCATGAACTAAATGATAATTAAATTGCAAAATAAATCATCAAAAGTTGTGTGCATTAAATGTATAAAGCATTCACATTTGAAAACATTTCATCCAATCAGACGTTGAGTGGAATTTTTTAAATATCTCTTAAGGAGAAAATTGAAAAAAAACAAACAAACAAAACAAAAACAGAAGTTATTATGCGGAATGTTATCATGCAATTAATTTTAAAAATTGTTGCTTGTTTTGGACATTAAATATATTCACATGTCATTCTTGAGTCATTTGGGTTTAATGAAGGCCGCTGTCTCCCTCTACTGATCATTCTGAGAATAACACACTCATTTTGGGTCATATTGAGCTTTATTTCTTATAAATTGTGACTGATTCAGCATCTAATTATTTAGGATTCGAAAAACATACCTGCCTAAGTTTTGTTTCTAAACGCTCAGAACAAAATACATAAGACTTCTCCTTTTATTAGCTTTCACAATGTTCCTCCTAGTTTGGGTAATATTTCACCTTTCGTTCTCTTCACCAACATTATCCTTTTCTCCAGCCTCAGGGTGCAATGTTTATTTTACATTATATCTACAGTTGCATGTATGGATATGATGATGCAGCTTGCATCCAGCTATGTTCAGACCTTGATCCTAGTTTTATTCAAACAACTTTTATACCTGCATTTCACTGCATGTTAGGCCAATAAAATGCAACTTCATCACGTGAAGCATGAAGCCATTAATAACGTATCCTGTATTTTAACAAAAAAAAAAAAAATGTTTTTCAATTTCTCCAATTTTTATGTTTGCAGTTATTTTGCAGAAAGTTTTTTTTTCTCTGTATTCCCAGAAATGCCACGAGATGGCAGCACTGCTCCAGAGGTGTGCTGTGGAAATGAACGTATGATGTTGGATAAAAACACTTTCTTTTACTTCCAAGAACAGCAAAAATCGGCATATTAAGATTAGATAAATCAAAGACTCCTATCATGCAACAAATTTTTAGTTATGATGAGTTCAATCCTAAAAATTATATAACAACGCTCATTTTATTTTTTCTGAATTATTTTAATTCTGGCTGTGCCATGCAACTAAAATGTATAAAGAAAAATGTGACAAAATGAGATTAGGTGTAAACTTTGTTTCCACCTTAAAAAAATTAAGACTTCCAGTATAATTTACAGAGCAGTTTAATTGTCTGTGAGGCAAAATGGAAGAAGACGTAAAACTCTCCAAATACTCAACATGTCCCGTCTGATACATGACTTTTGAATGGTAATTATAAACAACTTTAAACATTGTGATCTTAAAGGTAAGCAAAAGGTCTTGTAATTTACAAAAATATTGGAATTATTTAAATTCATTTTATTTTTCAGAAAATGTCTTCAAGTTGAAAATGTCTGACTTCAAACTCACAAATATTTGCCACTTTTTCTGCACAACTCTGAAGAAAATGTACTGAAGTCTCATATTAAGCATGTTAGACATTAATCTGCAGGACATCTGTCAAGACAAAGAGAGAAATAATACTTTGAAGCAAAAATATTTGCTTAGTGTTATCTGTGAATTTTAAACTTGTATTACTGTTTCTCTGGACTACAAATGATATCAAGCAAGTCATTTTTAGCCTGTCTTCAAAATATGAAATTCAAAGAAAATACTATTTGTGATGTGTGTTAGCATACATCAGAAAATTACTAAAAGAAAGTAAAATTTGTCCTCTGTCTTTAAGTTTTTGTGGAAAGATTTTTAGTTTAGCCGCAAACTCGCCAGATCACTTACTGAATACATATATATTACATAGATTACATTTAATCTGTGGAAAGTAAAAACAAATATAAAATAAATTACTCATTATATAAATGTTAATGTGATTTAGTACTGAAGAATGCTCTTCACCCTTAAATAAATTGAAAATGTGATCAATTCATCAGAAGTTTCATGGCTTTAAAATAATCCAAAGTTAAAGTTTTAAAGCTTTTCAACAGGCGTCTACATATATATGCATTTATCCTCTAATTGTGATCACAAATTATGACATATTCCATTTAATATTATAAAGAAGACCATGCAGAATAAAGGAAGAGAATAATTTGTTCTTCAAAATGCCCTGCCGAGTGAAACCAGTTAAAGTATAAAAATCAATCCAGTGAGTCAGACTGGGCCACTGATCTCTCGTTGATTTTCAGTGTTACCGACACTGGATCCAGTGAGCCCAGAACCGCCTTGCAGGTCACAGAAAATATCTTCTTCCAGTTCTCCTCATCAACCGTCAAGGAGCTGCTCCAGGCGTAGTGGTCATCATCTAGAGGCGTCACTGGGCCCCGTTCCTCTTTCCAGTGGATTTGGCTGCTGCTGTTGACCTGCCACTGCAATTGCCAGTCAGAGGGGAAGCCCTTGTTTCCCAGACATGTGAAGGTTAACTTCCCCTGCTGCGGCTCCTCACTGGAGGGGGCCAGCAAAGTCAGGTTGGGATGTGAAACATCTATGAGACAATAAACACCTTTTATGGTCAGGATCAACCCAACTGTCTGTCAACAGCAAACACATGTTCTGGTCAATAACTGGACTTCTCTTTTTCTGCAAATGATTCACTTCATTCTAGTCTTATTTATAAATTATTTAATGTACGGTCACAGCAAATGGTAAATGACCTGGACTTGTAAAGCATTTATGAAGTGCAGAGGACCCCAAAAGCCAAAGTGAGACAGACACTGAGGGGATCAAACCGTCAACCTCAAACTCATGTCACCATCTTCACCACAACAGTACAACAGAATCCTCTATTGACCATTTGATAATCATTTGAAACATAAAATATACTGAGATAATACAATCTCCTGTGGCCACACTTTTCTTCAAATTATTTAGTAAAAATATTGTTTTTGGTGTGAGAACTGATATTTGTTGTTGATGTATAAAAAGTCTTAAAATAAGTTTAATTACAGTAAAGCATTCGTAAATTTCTCAAAGCAAGATATTTCTTCCACCAGTAATATTTCTCTTCAAATTACACTGGTTTCACATTAAACTTTAATGTTAGGAAAAGCCTAAATAATAGCAGATTTTAAAATAATATTTTAAAGCTCTGTGTACTGTGACCAGTTTAGTAGTATAACTCCACAATTTAACCACTTTTAAGGTCAAAAGCTCAGCTTGCCATTTAAAAAACTGCAGAAAAAGAAAGTCCAGTATAAAAAGTAACAAGATATCAAAAATATTAAATACCTTTCTCAGTCACAACATGGAGTTCAACTATTCCAATTTCAGCAGCATGGTTCCCCAATATTATGACAGTATAATTTCCGCTGTCATTCAGTTGTACGGAGGTCAGAATCAGGTGGCCGTTGGCCGAATCAATCGAAGCTCTACCTTCGTAGCGATCGTTCACCTTGAGACCTTCTGGACGCAGAAGAGCAACATTTACAATTTGGTTTTCACCTTTGAAGTTCCAGGTTATTATGTTATGTGGCTCATTCTCAATCTCTATTTTAAGTGTCGCGTTTCCCCCCAAATAGGCTTGCACTGGACTCTCCGACACAATCTTCTGACCAACACTGGGCCCTGTAGGCAAGCATGAAAGGGTTAGATTGTTTTATAAACATTTAAAGGTGTAAACAAGAGTAATATTTATTCAAATAGAGGCCAAACTTTAATAAAGATCATCATTTAGTATTTTTATCAGTATTGAGTTCAGCTTAGCAAAAGGAAACAAAATAGACTGATGATCATCAGGTCTTACAGTTATTACAAAATATCCAGTTAATGTGTAACATTTCATGCATTAAATTACACAGAAATGTTAAACCTTACCTATGAAACAGAGGAAAAACACAAGTGATTTTAAGCTGAACAGATCCATGTTTCTCTGATAGGACAGATGATATTGCAATGCTTTTAAAGGGTAAATACAGGAAGCTCAAAGAGCATGTTTTCTCTGTAAACTTACCGTTATACAAACTGGAGTTTAGTCAGCAAAAGCTAATTATTTACAGATTTCAACTTGCGTACTAAAGTTACTGTTGTTGAAGATTTAAGATTGATATAATCTTTGTGTGGCCAACAACATATGATCTCTTTTACTTTCTTTGTTTTTTTTACAATCTGCTGTTTGTTTAATGAGATGATTCGGAGAATTTCAGCCTAGTTTTTCCCCGTGTCACACTTTCTACCCATTTCTCCTACTTCAATGCCTCACATCTCTTTTATTTTTTTTTGTTTTATGCAGTTGCCCCTTCATGGACTCTTAAAATAATATAGTCAGTATGAACTGATGGCACCATGTCAGGCCTGGCTTTATCTCTTATCCTGGATTTCTGAATCCGAATTTTTGTGAAACAGCCCTCAGTTTAGCACTTTGGTTAAATATTCTGTTTTAAGCTTTGCTTTATGAATAAAATGGGATCGAACATATTGCATTTCCTGCATGAAACAAACAGAAGTTGGCATCTGTGTGTGATGACTTGCTGCCTTGAACACCAGATTTAGTTTTGTGTAACAAAAAGGTAAGGCTAATGTTTTTTTCTTCATTAATAAACCAAAAATAGATAGATAGATAGATAGATAGATAGATAGATAGATAGATAGATAGATAGATAGATAGATAGATAGATAGATAGATAGATAGATAGATAGATAGATAGATAGATAGATAGATAGATAGATAGATAGATAGATAGATAGATAGATAGATAGATAGATATCTTAAAAGACCACCAGATGGCAGCACCATGATATAGATAAAATAAGCCACAATATTTTCTTCCATTTTTTAGTTTAGGCGTAATAATGCATTTTTCCACATGCATTAAATGCATTACCTGTTTGTGTGAAATAACCAGAAGTTCATCATTAATCTTTTAAAAATATTTTTAACGTATTACATTTCAGTCTGGATAATTATTAGCCTACTAATATTTTATATGACGTGATAGTATTACGCCACAACAAATTCAAAGAAAAAAGCAGAAACGTATGAAATAAATTTCAAAATGAGAGAAAAAAGGAAATTACAAAGTGTCTGCGGTTTGTTGAGACTTTGTCACTCAGACTCGCTCATCTGAAAAATAACTCAACGTTGCTGTAAATAAAAGTCAGGAATAAACTCCTTACCGAAAAGAGGCAGGCAGGGAGTCATTCTTGCTTCATTGAGGTTGTTGTGTCCACACCTCGCTGGGTGTGTCCTGGTAAAAGCAGCAGGTACACCGCAGTTCCGCTCCTGTGTCTCTGCTGGGAAGACTTGAAACCGTCCAGGATGGATCTGATCGCCTTTTCGTTTCTTTTGCTCCTCTCTCAATTCGGTGAGCCTTAACTTTGTTTATTATTTAAATTATTTATACAGTCTGTATTTAAAAGACCTTTTTTTTTTTCTTTTTTCTTTTTTAAGTATCCGAGTATTTATGTTTCGCTCTGTCCTTCGTGTCTGCTCTGGGTGTGCTTTAAGTATATGAATGAAACACGACTGCTTTATTATTAATTAGATATTTTTGCTTTTGCTCACACGCAGGCTGTTCTGCTGGAGACAAAGTTCTACCCGACGGTCCTCTGGATGCACTGTTGGGGAAAGATTTGACAATAAATCTCCTGAGTCCAATAGAACAAAGCGACATCTTAACATGGAGTTTCAAGAGTTCTACATCAATTGGTACTCTGAGAGGTGGCAGCGCTACAATTACCGTGGCATATAAAGATAGAGCTTCCATTAACATCACCAACGGGGCCCTGACTCTGAAGTCCCTAAAATCAGCGGACAGCGGAGATTATAATGTAGTAATAATCGGGAATGCAGGCGGTATTCCCGGAGAGGTTAAAATCCGAGTTCTGGGTGAGTTATTAATACTTTATTATTGTCTGCTTAGTCTTTAGAGTTTTTATATATACTTTTTTCTGACTTTTTAAATGCAGGAATGTGTTTGAAATAAAGTAGTCAGGATCTGCTGTAGTTCTTTTGTTTGTTTGTTTGTGTTTTTTCACGGCTTATGCACTGTTAGTGTTCATAAATTTGTTGCAATATGAGAGAAAAATTGTGAAATTTGCTGGAAAAGTCCCGAGTCCCTTACACCAGGAGATACCAGGGCGTGGCTCTTTGGACTGTTCTCTGCAGTATGAATTTGTTTCATAATTTTATGGGATCCAGCTTGAAGAGTTTTACTCTTTTATTTATTCCCTTTTTGGCGTGACCCCCTTTTTAGTGCTGTTTTGAAGTTTAGAGCCCATTTGACTACTGGTGTCCTAATTTTAACCACATTCATAAGCCTACTTCCTGTATTTCTGATTTAACCCTAAAGAATAAGGCCATCATGTTGATTTACATCATAGTCTTACTGGCTCTTTTCGATGGACCAGCTTAGCAAACCAGTTTCGCATCAAAAATCATGTGTAAATTCTTCAATAAAAAAAACAAAAATGAAGCTGTCGGCATTTTGGAAAAGAATCAGTTCTAATGGTTAGCACTTATTTAGACATTTTGTTGGCTCTATTATTAAGAATGGTTAGAAAGTCTTGCTACAAATTCTGCCTTTACTGCAGTATCATAGTCTCAGACCAAGGATCCTGTGCCAAGATGACGGTTTCTTGAAATAAATGCAATTGAAGTAACTTCCAGTTTTCTGTTGATCAGAATGTCTAAGGACTTACAATCAGTAATGTCTTTCTTGTTTGCAAATATAGCATATGGATCAAAAAACAATTTCTTAAAGTCATTATGAATGAAGCATAATTTAGGATTAAATTAAATTAGATGAAGTTTATTTGACTCCCTGGTGGATTTCCTTCTGGAGGAGTAGCTTCTTAACAGTTACAGACTTATCAATGAGAGGGTTTGCCTCTGTATTCTTAAAGCAAAGCCATTCTTGTCATTCAAACAGTTTTAAAATGTAAGTTCAGTTTTATCTCCAGTTGGTGCAGTTTCTTTCAGCATTAGAGCATATCTGTAAATTAGTGTAAGAGTCAGTTGAAGAGTTCTTACAGTTCAGATTCAGATGTGGTTGCCTCTCCTTTACATTGTCTCACACCCACTGTTGCCTAATCTGCTGACTGCAAGTAGTGCAGTCATTGGATTATCTGTAACCAGTTAAACTGGTCTAATGGTTGCAGTCGTTCATCCATTTACATTCACTGTATTGATATGTTGATTTCAGCTCATAAATTAATGTTGAAGAGGACTCAGTCCTGGGTGTGTGCATTATTGACTCTTTGCTCGTCATTATAGTCAGATTTCATCTACAAAAGAAGAGATTTCTTAAGATCTTTATGGAAATGCCTTTCATATGACACACATCCTGTTCAGATTTCAACAAAGTTCAATCAAATACAGTTACATTTGATAAAACATAGATATGACATTGTAAAATAAATTCCCCAAGACTTGAGTAGATGATCTGATTGATGTTGAGATTTGTGAATTTTAAATCTGAAAACATGGTGGTGATGGAAATCTTCTTGTGTTATGTTCTCTGTTCTATGGCTATTTTTCTCTGCAGAACCTGTGTCTGATGTCATGATCAAATCAAACCTCCCTGAAGTCATTGAGCACAACAGCACAGTGGAGCTTACCTGCTCTTGCAAAGGATCTATTGAGAGCTTCACCTGGACCAATGACAGCAAAATCATTGAACCTGATGGCAAACGGTTTACTGTGAAACCGTCGGTGATGTCAGACACGGTGAAATTAGTTCATATGCATTTTGACATTCAGAATTTATGATTCAGTTAATAATAGATATGCATATGCAAAGTTTTTATACACGGAGTATGAGCTTTTAAACTAAACTGATTGTTTAAATTTGTTTAAATTTGTGAATTAAATGTTGCTATAAAATTTGGCTCAAACTATTTTCTCTTACAGAAAAGAAAAAGTTGAAATATTGATACAACAAAGTTAATCTATATTAACAGTTTTTATTTTTCTTATTTTTTGGAGCTTATGCAAAATTGTAAGGAGTTGCTGATCAATATTTAATTGATATTTTCTCTTTAGATTGAAATACCGGGAAAATATTCTAGTCAGCTGACCATCACAGGTGTCCAGAGGTATGACCTGGTTGGCCCAATTGTCTGCACAGCAGCAAACACACTGCAAAAAGACAGCAGCGCCAAATTCAACCTCACAGTCTTCTGTAAGTTATTCACAGACACTTCACAGAAACCTCTTCTTAAGCAGCCTTAAAGGCAGAACTCGTATCCTTGCAGAAAAATAACAGAATTGGATAGAGAAATATTGCAGGATATGCAATATTTAATGCATATTCTGTGCATTAAACTTCACAGAATATAAAGGAGTGGCTTTTGACTAATTATTCGCCTTACTGGATTGGCATGTTTTCCTGTTGTTCCCATTGTGAAGACTGGCTAAAAGTAATCGGCATTCTTCTCACCTCAGAGAAAATGAAAGACACTTTTTGACTAAATTGTGGAAATATACATCTTTAGTTGTAACAGTGAAGTAAAATTAATTTTAAGGCTTTATTTTTAGATGTGTGTCAAACTCATATAAGTCATGGTGGTTAGACAGATATTGGTATTCTCTATTCATTTCAGTCAGTTTTCATTGTTTAGTTTTCATTGTTTGCCAGGTTGCACTTGACTGAATGAGCTCCACACCTGTTTGACAACAAAAGGTCACCAAGAGCAAATGGCCATTTGTCATAAATAGTTAATCTGCATGGTTTTCATGCCAACATATGAGGGTGTACATTATGCTGAGTTAGTCCTGTAAAAAAAAATTAATCCTGTTCCAATTCCAACAAAAAGCCTTATCTTAGTAGCCTTGTAGTAATGTAAACTACTGCAATTGAAACGCCTATGCATGTTTGCAAGGCGCTCCCTTTCAGCCTACCCTCTAAGGCTAAAACCACATTGTGTACACAGCAGCCTACACCTCCGCTCCTTCTGCATGAATAACCTGAAAGGCAGACAAACCACACCAACCACAGCTTTAGCCTGTCATTAATTAATCAAGAGCTTACCGCTACAGTTCAGGAAGGCTGAGGAGGGACAGGTCAAGTTGGATAAGAAAAACAGAGAATCTGACCATTAGTTAATAAAATCACATTGAAAATGTCATTTTTGTAACTTGTAGCTGCAGAATCACCCTGAAAGAGCCTGTTTTGAGAATCTTTAGTTGTAAAGCTGTATAAGAAATGGTAAAAGCAGTTTCACAACCCTCCTTCATACAAAACAAGTAAAATTAAGACTATGCATAATCCATAAAACAAACATACAAGTTTCTTCCATTATCACTGCAAAAACTCAAAATCTTACCAAATAGTTTTGGTCTAGTTTTTAGTTCAAATATCTTACTACATATGAAATAAGGTAAAAGTACTTAAACGTAACTTTTCAGAAAGATATAGACAAGGCTTATTTTAAGTAAATAATTCCTTAATATTGATGAAAAATTATTTGTTCTATCGGCAGATAAATTAACTTATGTGGTACTTTTTCATTTATACTTAAAACAAGCTTCTGTATCTTGCTAAAAGTTACTTGTCAATTAGTTTTGTCTTATTTCAAAATTGCAAAGATATCTGCAGTAGAAAATAGACAAAAAAAAATACTTGGAAAGATTTCATGCTTTTGCTGTGCATACATTATTTGTAAGCCCATTTGCTTAGATTTCATTATGTGTATTTGTTCCATAGATGGACCCGAGGATGTCATCATTAAGCCCTCTAAACAACTGGCATTTGTGCCGTCCAATTCGGATTTCAACCTGACATGTTCGGCCTCCTCCAAACCCGCTGCTACTTTCACCTGGTTTTATGACACAAAGCAGATAGAGGCCACTGGTCCAGTCCTCACCCTGAAAGTCATTGAGGAGCAGGGATTTGGACATACGATGGGCAACTACAGGTGTGTAGCTCAAAATGAGAAGACCAAACGAAAGGCTTCATCTATTGCTGTTCAGTTCTCCGTGATGGGTGAGTATTGACTAGAAAATATCCATTGTTAGTTAAATCAGGTAGTGTGTTATGCCAATGGCCATCACATTTAGATCTGGAATAGTTGACCAAGTATTTTCTTTTAAAGTAGCAATCCTAGTACCATTTCACTGATCTTAATAAAATGACTACTGAGTTTATAGAGTTATTATTATTAACAACCTTAAGAGAAAAAAATAGTTTAAATTGACCATTAAGCCAACAATGTCATTCAAATTACATTTAAATCAGAGGGAGAATATGCAAACTGATTTTTCTTTTAAATAGAATCAGTAAAAAATGGGAAGTAGGAAAATAATAATTTGATAATATATTGCCATATAGGTTTGCTACAACCAAATAGTTAAGGTCAGTGTTTATTCCAGAGACAAACAGGACTAAAGTCTCAGATTTGTGACACGCCTTTCAAGAACCAAACTGTTAAATTAATACCTACAAACAAGCCTTCTGTGCGTTCAAGGAAACCCAACAAACAGACTGTAGCTCGCACTTGATATTTTGTGTCACAAGCAGTTTCTGTAATTTGCAGCCAACCATTATTTTACATTTTTCTTTCTGTCATGGCCGCTGTTTCATGCGGATAACAAACTATTTCTGCGTGCATGATCTTACACTATGCCTGAAGGAGTTATAAAGCAGAAATGTGACAGTTGGCTCCAAAATGAAACTGGCTTCAGCTTTTGTATTGGTGACTCATGTCATCTTTAGCATGTCGACACAGCATTAAATTATGAAGTCTCCAGCATTACAGCTGAAACAAGAGACTTCTGTAGTCATCACGCGTCAAGTTAGGAAGTGAATATTTGCACCTCAAAATGAAAAACTTCCATCGAAGCCTGAAAACTGGTTGTGCTACTTTTGGCAGAAACACTTACAATGAATGGAAATGCGTTTTTTATTTTGCTTTGGAGGAACTCTTAATTGTAGAGTAGTTTAATTTCAGTCCTGTTGGATAGTGTCCTCTTGCATGACCAGCCTGTTTGAGCCCTTCACAAAGTGTCTTAATAAATTATCATTATTTTATTTCAGAAACCATGTAGCTTTATTTTATTTTTTTTTAGACATTCAGAGATTAACTGGCAATTGTGCTTTGGATTAATTTCTTGCTGCACATGCAAAGTTAACTAGAGCTTCAGGACACATATTCAATGTATGAATTAATGGTTTCAATAGTTGATGCACGTTGCTCATTCCCTAAATCAACAAATCATAATCTGCAAGACACTAGCACCGGCATGCATAACAGTCGAAATGGTGGCCTTTTTCTGAAATGTGATGTTGTAATCTTAATGTGAAGTATTTCCTATTCATTACTTTCTTATTCAGGATTTTTGATTTTAGTAAATTATACTTCCACATTATAAAATGAGGAAAATGTCAAATGAGACAATAATAATGACATGATACCTACAGTTATTTGAACTGACTTAGAAACAGCAAGAGTGATGGCTTCCTTCTTTCCATTCATGCTCACAGAGGCCATTTCTGGCATTAAGTTAAGTGGTCCAAATGGTATCCTCATCGCTGGCAACAGCAGCGCCAAACTCAGCTGCCAGGCAACACAAGGCAACGTGTCGGAAATAATCTGGTTGAAGGATGGCAAACGCCTTTCCCCCGACTCCCATGTCGAATTCTCCAACGATGGTACCTCAATAAATATCGAAGTGCTGAAGAAAGAGGACAATGGAGAATACATATGTCAGCTCAGCAACTCTGTCAGCACAAAAGAAGCTAACTTCACAATGGTGGTCAACTGTAAGTGTTTCAGAAGCATTTATTGCATTTTGTTGATTTAGTGATGACAGTTTCATGTTAAATCTTTACTTCACTTTATTCAGATGGTCCTGAAACACCAGTGGTGAAGGGAGACAAAGAAGTGCAGTTGAATACACGTGTGGAGCTCATCTGTTCTGTCTCGTCTGTCCCTCCTGCCAAAATTATCTGGAAGCTAAATGGGACAGTGATCCCTGGTGAAACAAAAACTACGTTGATCTACAATAACATAGAGTATAAGAAATCAGGAACATACACATGTGAGGCAAGCAATGAAGTCACTGGGAAGTCCACCAACTCCCCCCCTCTCTCCGTCACCGTTAAAGGTAAGATTGTTATGTCAGTCAATTGTTGTATTAGTGTTACATCAGGAGTGCCAGGTGCAGAACACAACTGTAGATGAAATCAGGAGCACATATTTTTGATGTTTTAGCATTTGAATCATTTAATCCCCTAAATGTTTTGTTAATAATCTGCCAGCAAAACCAGAAACCTATTGATCTTGGAACACTAAGCTACAATATCTGTTTGTCTGACATCATAGAGAGTAAGAGCAACCTCACTCAATGGTTGTCCTGTACTTGACAGAGTTTCATTTTCCTCACCTTGAAAAATTACATGTCCACGGCAGAATAATGTGCCTTATTTGGAGTAGCATTTCCACTAATCCATCACATTCCTGGGTATAGAAAAGTTAAAGCCGAACCAACCAAGTAGTAAATACTTGGTATATTACAAATCTATTGGAATACCTTTACTTTTAATACTTTGGTGTGTATTACATAACAAGCATTTGAGACATTTTATAGCGTAAATCGGTCCAATTCATGCAGATCTCTGTAAGCGTATGTCATTTCTTTAAATTGTTTGAATTTGTGTGCACTTTACAATTCGGTTTGAATCCTGGAAATTCTAATCCAGTGGTTGCATTGAAAAATAAAGAGTCAGAATCAGCTTATCTATGCATTTTACCATGTTAATTTCCAGAATAGTACTAGTAGAGGCTGCACAAGACAACACAACTATGCTGCCATCAAGATCTCAGTGTACAATGTTATTAACCCAAACGAGGAACTGGAATGGAATCAGTGACGTTCGATGAGGTTCATAGTTGGCGACTTAATGATAATCAGACATATAAAGATAGAGCCCCTGGATTTTACTGTTTACATCAGTTTGTTTCAGTAATACAGTTTTAGGCTCCATGTTTATTTTGCGATTATTGATAAGTGATGGCTGTGGTAAAAGGACAAAACTACAAATATGCACTTGACTGCATGGCTCACTCGCTGTTACTGTCTCTTACTCTGTAGTCGTGGAGTCACAATGTCTGGGATCATGAGCGCCCCCTGCCATGAGGCAGGAGAACTGCCTGCCTCACCTCCAGTCTGTTCTCTGTCATTTCTGATTGCTCCTCAGCGCACAAAGCACGTTACACACGTGCTTTGTGACAAAAAACTCTGTACATTATATACATAAGCTAAATTATGGAAAATCAGTTCATATTTTAAATGTTTTTTAGCCATTTCATTGGCGACGTTCAGACAGGAGGCGCATGCTCCCATAGATTGGCTGCCAGCGCCGTTAGCCAGAGGTTGATGAATCCCAGTGAGGCTCAGCTCACTGCTGCCTCACCAGCTTCGCTTCCCAGCATTTGAATGGGAAATTACGAAAACTCAGCGTTTTTGAAGAAAAAATAATGAAAATTGGTTAAGCTAAATAATAATAATAAATACTTTACAGTACAAACCACAGACTGAAAATATCAATATAAATAATTTTATATTTTTCCATTATGACAGGTGAGGCTCTGGCTCACTTGCCTCCCCTGACCGCATGGAATGTATCTTAGAAACCGTTTTTCATTTGTCATGGAAAACGGAAATACATGCCAGTAGTATTTTCAGTCTTTTTCATGAAGTCTCCCTGCAGTTGACGCAATACGTCAAACATGTGACAGTGCCCAACGTGCCCAGAAAGGCCTCAGAGAAAAAGGGAAGCATCATAATGACCTTTCTGTAAAATTGGAGGCAGGAAAATGTGGTTTTACTGATATTTTCATCGCAACATTTGACAGTAGCATCACAGTCGCACGGTTTCCTAACATTTTGCAGTTCCAGGATACTTTAGGGCGGTTGCTCACTCTGACAGAGTCTGTCATTCGATTGCCACCATAAAAATAATTTTGCAAACAAACCACCAGTTTCCCAACAGTAATGACCTGTTGCCCTTTAGGTCGTCTGTTTCGCAACATTCAAAGACATCTAAACCAATGCTACAAATACATATAAATTGGACAAATAGTACATAATTAAATTTTTCAGAATCAAAACAGAAATATGTCACTCAACCGCCTTAAATAATAATTCACAGTACTTGTTAATGGTGGTAACTGAGTTGAGTCAGACCATGTAGTGAAAAGAAAATTTAAAAAATCGTGATTTCCTTAGAAATTAGAATTTAATTATGCCTTTCTGTAGAATACATTTCAACTTATATAATGTCAATTGTTGAAATGATCATTACTAGAGATAATTTCCCATACAAAATGTATGTGTTCCTGCCAAACTTTCTATATATTTATCTATCTCATATGATCAGACAGATACACCTTACTTCATCTTTCTGGTTCAAGCTGTATATCCCCAAAAGGGCACGAGACTTATCAATGTGCAAAACATTTTTTGTGATTATCGTGGTTTTAATTATTGTTGTGTGATGTTTTTCTAGAAAACATAGACGAAGGTCTTTCCGATGGAGCCATTGCCGGAATCGTCATTGCATGCCTTGTTGCAGTTGGAGTCGCCATCGCCCTATTCTTCTACTGCAGAGGGAAAGTACCGTAAGTACTCTTTATCTTTGTACAGCAAGTTATTATGCAGATTTGGTGATGAACAGATCAAACAGTGAAGAAGAGTAAACCAGAGGAACTGTCTAAGAGATGAACTGGTGTTCATGTGAGAGAATACAACAAATCCAAGTTCATTGTTAGAGTACTTGTACTTTCTGGACTTCTTTTTGAAATTTCTCTTAAGCAGAAACCAGGCTCAATTTATTTCTGCTTTAGATCACTGCAAAAGGTCAAAGATAGGATTTAAGTCAAGTTATTTGCAGAAAATGGCTTCAAGGCTAGTTTGTTGTGTACAGGAGAACTGATTGACATTATGAGGAACAATGGTTTAAGAGAACCTCTTGTTTTAAATATCTGTGAGCTTATTCTTGTTAGATCTAAGGACCAGTTGAAACCAGAATAAATTCAGTCACATGTATCAACATACTTAAAAGCGATGAAAGAGTGAATTGTTTCAAGTCCTGGCTGCGTTTAGCTCTGCTATTGTCTCTATAACTTACTGTCCACTGAATACAAGAGAAAGCTGTTGTGTTTTTTTTTGCTTCCGATGAAGGATAAATTGCTTTAGTTCGCAGCTTCTTGCAGTGTCTATAACACCTCTCTTTGTTTCTGTTTCTCAATATTGCGACCACTTTGTGACCTTTTTGGAAATTCTGGACATTCCTCTTGCTTTGGTGCCTTGCAACATGTCAGGATGATGTACAAACACATCCAAATTATGCAGTTGCTAAACTCTTACAGCACTGAATTCCTTTTGTTGCATGAAAATATTTCACCACTGAATCCAATTCTTGCACCTATAAAAAAGTCTTTACTATCATTACGACAAACTTACAAAGAAAAGAACAGTCCCAGCTGTCAAAATATGCTTTTAGTTGTTCTTTTTAATTATGACATGATTAGCACTAGATAGTATAATTGCATGGCTAATAAGTGCTCGTAGTTCACTTCAGTGGAAGTCAACAGGTGTTGTGCTCCTAGTAAACCTGGCCAGTATGAGATTCTCATGGTGTGATAACATAAGTTTTAATTGCATTTACAAAAACAGCAGAGCTTCATTACCTCATGATCCTTACATTCACAGAAGATTCACTGGAAAAATACTTAAACCATCAGAACAGTATGTATTGTTCCTATTAATCACAGGCTTGAGCAAAAAATTGAGACCGTTCCCTCACACTTACGTGTCACATTCTTTACATATAAGTAACATCCGTTGGCGTTTCATCATACTGGACCACAACAGAAACTGCCATCCTGAAACAAACGAGTGAGTCAGTAAGAGATATTCACATTCCTTAGTTCAGAAGCAAGAGACAAAATGTTTACATACAGCTGAGCTTTCAAAGTAAAACATTAAAAAACTGAAATAATACTTGTTACTCTTTTCTTCTCTTTGTAGTAAATAGTAAATATATCAATAGTTTCATTTGATCACCTTATTAAATTAATGGCCTAATTCATTTTTTTTGGCCAAAATTACATTTGGAAAAAAATGACTTAGACATTTACTTTAGGAAAGTAACAATTTGTAGTGGCCAATAGAAGTCAAATCAGAAAAATAGCTTATGAAATTCATTGCCTATAATGGCAAACCAATAAAATTCTCCTTAAAAAAACTGAACTGATGCTTGCAAAATTCAACAGGAATGATTTGTAAGAGCAAACGACCAACAGCCATCCAACTGGTATTTCTACTTTTGTTCCAAAGAAATACACTCAGAACAAAGGAATGAAACCGTCTCTTATACTTTTAGTTAAAGTGAGACTTTTTTTTACAGCACAAGGAAAGCCACAGATACTTCAGAATTGTTTAGCCATCCTTACACAAAGTACTTTAAGCCTCTACATTCAGTTTATTAAAAAATCCTTTATAGCCAAAGGAACTGTTCATCATTGAGGGAGTGAGATCATGTTCTGTAGGTAGACCTTTCCCTCCTTGCTTGGCCTTTAACAAATCTCCTGTCAGGATTATCTGATGCTACGGGGGTCATTGGGTCTCCGGTTTAGCGGTGGTGGGAGGTGTTCTTACTTAGAGGAACTCCTAAAAACCCTGAAGCCTTCAAGGTATTTTCTTGCATGGAGCAAGATAAACTGTGTCTGGTAGGAAGAATCCAAGTCATAAACGAGTCTTCAACCTTCTCCTGAAAGGTTCTGGATTCACTGTGTGTGAAATCACTCCACACTGTCGAAGATTAAATACTTACATTTTTCTTCAAATGAGATGATGAGTTTGGTTGGTGTCTGAGTTTCCTACTGTTTCTCTCAGGATTTTTGTACATAGGATTCCTTTGAGGGATTTTATTTGGTCATTGATAGAGGTTTTCAATCTGTTGTGATCTACCTTGCAACTTGGTAACAAACCATGTGATGCAGGAGTGAAACTGAAACACTGCTGGGCGGCCCTTCAGTCTTACAATTCAGACTTCAAGTCCATACTGCAGATGCTTTGGTCAAATATGACATTTGAGAACTTTTTGTGCAATAAAGAGTGCTGTCAAAAAAGACGAGAGAAGACAGAAAGAAACTAAGTTAATTGTTGCACTCAACCTTTTCAGACATGCCAAACACTGCCAAAAGTGGCAACAACCAAAGTGCAGACAGAAGATGATAGACTGTGCCATAACCTGTTCAACACAAATATGCCAGTTCAGCAATAAACATGTTGCTGCAGAGAAGAATGCCCTTATTTCTTATTAAAGTCTTGAAACGTAAATGATTTCAGGTAAAAAAAAGTTAAAAGTTGACTCTTTTGGCTTACCTCAACATTTCTTGGACGACACCGTCTTATCAACTGCAGGGTTATTTTCTTAATACACTTGCACAGTCTAGGCTCTTAAAGTACCAAAAGATAGTAGTATTGTCTAGTACCCTGCATAGTTACAGTGTCTCAATCAACAGAAGTAGTTTTGGGATTTAGTGGAACAGAAGATTCGCATCATGGATGTGCAGCTGGATAATAGGTAGAAACTACCTATGTGCACAATGCTTGCATGTCAGTATGAACTCAAAATGTCCAAGGAATGCTTCCAGAACCTTGTTAAATGTATGTCACAATAAGCTAAGGCAGATCTCAAGCTAAAAGGGGTGTCCAAACTGTCACTAGCAGGATGTATTTGATAAAGTGGCTGTTGAGTGTATTTGTGTATTTATTGTTTTGAGGGAAATTACTACAAAACAACTGACTCAGGCTTAAGGAGTCAGTTGACCTAAGACTGAAGGTCTGAGGTCAATTTTCCTGGTACTTGAATGTTTTGTGTTTTGTGCTTGAGGGGAAAACAAACATAAAGGATGAACAACAGACTAAAGCCTAGAAGGCCATATCTAAATATCTTCAAAAGTCAAAATAAAGATAAAAATCCCTGATTATCAATGGGTCTTAAAAGGATTCTGAATGACAAAAGAAAGGATGTAGATTAAACTGCAGGTGCACACTGATAACATACAAAGAGACACTGCCTCAACTTGTGCAACGCAATAAAACCACTCATATGAAACATTGTGCAATCTGTTTTGTGCATAGACATACATTCAGTTATGCCCATATTTTTCAGTTAGCAGTTATATTTTAGAAAGAGTTAGATTAGCAGCTACCTTATACGTATTTAAGGTAGCTGCTAATGAACTTACCGACAAAAAAGTGAGGATAAAAAATTGTCACTCACTAGTACCCATAACTACTATAAAACATGTAATTTTTACACTTATTCCTGCAACAATGACTTTATAAGAAGTGCATTTGTTGATGCTAACTTGTAAGTAATACAGCTGTGTACAATTTCCATGTAAAGCTTATTTTTTTGTGAAAACTTGCAGGGCACTTCAGTGTAGATCAGTGCAGTTCAGTCAAGAGAAAGAGAGACCAAATGGTTTGTTCGCTTAGGAACCACAGTACAACCACAAAGATCTTGATAATGTTGGATTACGATGTGATAATGCAACTTCAGTCAATGGCAGAGGTCTGGAGCGACATCCTGTCATGTCACAGCACCAGAGGCACAACAGAAACTGACATCCCAAAGAAATGTGGAAACAGACAAACCAGTGGCAGAGTTTCATTTCTACAATGACTAGTAGAAATGTTTGCTGCCCCTGAAAGTTGACACTTTTTCCCAGTTCTTTACCACCAAGTGGAAAATCTGTTCTCAGGACAACTATTAATTGTGTACTCCACAAATCTGCCCCATATCGAGTAGTGGCAAGAAGAAAACAAAAGTTGAAAGTTAAAAAGTCCTGTTTCAAGTTGTTAGCAAAACATTTGGAGGAAACACCAAACATGTTGAAGAAAGTTCTCTGGCCAAAGACCTGAATTGAATGTTTTGTCTTCCATAACAAACACTAGATATGATGGAAAACTTACGCAGCAGATCGCCTTGAATAAACCACTCCTGCTGTAAAACATGGTGGTGGCAGCATCATGTTGTGGGGATGCTTTTCTACAGCAGGGAGAAGGAAGCCTATCAAAGTCAATGTGAGGATTGATGGAGCTAAATACAGAATTATCCGTGGAGATGTTAAAAGACAAATGTTCACTTTTCAGCAGGAGTTAGAGAGAATATTCAAGCACATAGGAAACAGTTGACAACGAAACTCCCAATATTCAAATAAAATGCTGCATGAATAAGAACTGGCAAAGATTCACATCTAAAGAACTGACTTCAGATGAGAATATAGGACTTTAGGCTGTAGTTTAGCAACATGGATCCACTGGAAAAGGTTGACAAACTGAGTAGCTTTTCGCACCAGTTTCATTTAACCTCAGCCGGTTCTCACAAGCAAAGAAGAAGTGAGAAACAAAACTCACAAGGAGTCGAAAGCAAACGTGATGTCAGTTTTGCTCCAAGCTAAAGTGCCCACTATCCCCACATGCTTCCTCTTGTAACTGGCCCTTCCATTAAGGATTAACTCCATTCGGTGTTGTGCAAACACAATCTGAGTGCATTCCTCAAGCGTCACTCACATTCAGCCCAGTAATGGAGAGGCGTATGGAGAAACAGCTTGGCGAGCAATGCAGATTGTAGAGGAAATGCATACAACTCCTCACCACCAGGCAACTGTGACATGCAAATTCAAATTTGAATTACAAAGTGAATAATCAAATATCAACATGTGGCAGAAATAGCTGTTTACCAGCAGCTTCCATATTTAGGGAAAATGTTTGATTTCTACATCATATAATTTTGGAATAATATTTATACTTCTAGATTTACCAAGTAGTTAGATTAATTGTATTATTATGGTGTCTTAAATATAAACAAATATAAGAAAAATAATTCCTATCCTTTGAATCTATGCCATAAAATACCTCTAGAGTGGATAAACCAGTGACCACAACCTAAAGACTTCTTCAGTTTGACGATTGAAAGTGTTTGCTTGTCATTGGAGGCAAATCCTTCAGCAGCTAGCTCAGACATTGATGTCAGATTCTTATCTATTGAGTGACTCACATCACAAAGTGCACTTGTTTTTATGCACACACAAGCTTTGAAGTTCATTTTCAAACTAGAGACAATTGCTAAAAATGTATATTTAAATTTTGTGCGGTTGTTGATTATTTTTGTTTTTATTGTGATAAATTGCTTTAGGGTGCAAGTATTGGTTACAATGACTAAACTTCTCAGGTTCTCATAAACCTGTTTGACAAACTCAACCTTTTCGGCAACATGGTGGCCTCCTTTTCTTTTTTGAGATTCTCCTTTCTTTATCAGAAAGAAAAGGGTTCTGTGTTCAACTAGCTTAACCTTTCTGGTGTGCAATCATTCACAAAATGATTTTTTCCCCCACACCGCTTTATGATGCTGCAGCCAAATAAAAAAGCTGCCTGGTGGGAAATCCCACATACCCATCATCCACCAGTCATAATTACAAGTTGGATGTAGAGCTCCATGTTTCCCACCTGAAACTTGTTCCTACCTTGTAGTTGTCTTTTTGTTCTGAGAAATATTAACAAGCATCTGATTTTGTTTGTTTTGATAGAGTTAAGAACAAAAACATTACATATTTAACATGCAGAGCATGTCGGCACTGTTATTGGTCTAACAATAACAATTTTATGGGGAACATTTTTTGCTGGGCATATTTGCAAGAAGCAAGTTGTAACGTAACTGAGTCATTGGATCTACTCTAATTTTGCTATCACTGAATGATTTACTTGCTGAAACATCTGTTTCAACTGTTGAAGCTGCAGTGTGATTTGACTTTATGTCTACAAATAATATATAACAGAAATCTTTGACCTCAGTTTCACTCTCAAGCCTGACTACGACAGCTTAGTTTACCTGCTTTTAGTTTTATGAGTCATATTTTTGATAGGGTATCTTTTCAAACAGCTTCTTGGCTTTACTAGTGTATCAAAGAGTCACTGGTGTTGTTTTTTTTGCCGCTGGAAGAGCCAGGCCTACATTTTGAAACTATTGCCGGAATGTTGCTGTCGTGTCTGAACTCGTTCTCCAAAGCTCACCTGTGTCGCTTCTCTTTAATGCGTCTTCTAGTATCGTTTTGATCTTCTTTCATCTCTTGATCAAGTCATAGTGGCCACATCCTTTTTCTTATTAACGCAAACATTCTTCAGCTATTTTTGTTACTTCCACTTGTTAAATCAATTGAATGTGCTGCCATGATGTTTAGTCATGCTGCTCTCTGAGTGGCTTTGTTTCTCAAGTGTGAGCGGTTTTCTGGAGTCATGTAGCTTCCTCAGAAAAATCAACAACAATTTAACATTTAAAACTATTAACAAGCCCAAAACCTTAAATAAGAAAAATAAATGGTATAGTATGATTAGGTTGACTCTTTAGGGATATGCATAATACATGAATGAAATATTTACATATTTTCTTATTTCTTCTTTTTTTTTTTCTTTATCAAGTTTCTGATTTAATAAGTGATGGAACAAGTATAAAGTCTTAGCATATTCAGAAATAGATAGAGTATATAATCATCCAACTATAGTTTGTAAGGATCTTTTTATTCATTTAAGTTGCATTTCAGGACAAATTATAAGTTTAAGGTTTATTCAACGTTAAGCTAGAATGGAAATATACTCTATTATCCCTCCGTGAGGAAATTCTTTAATTCAACTTTCTTAAATGTTCTTTTTGTTTTTCTTGCCAAACATTTTAGGGACCTTATTACACACTTACTGCATGTTTTCCTAGTTTTCCTTCTTCTGTTGTTTCACTTCATGTGATCCATGTTGTTTTGTCTGGTTCTGCTCCTATCAGCAGCAGGGATAATAGCACAGTTTCAGTGATAAGGTAAGGTGACTCAGCTGCAAGGTATTTGTAGGGCCGGTTATTTACTTTCACAATGGCCCTCCCTGGCTTTATGCACCTTTATGGTCACATAGTTACTTTTATAAAGAGTAAATTAAAAAATGCTGGGTGGGAGATTTGAGTTAAACAGGTAGAGATTAGAATGAAGTGCAGATTGCAGTGGGAAACTAACTCGACAGCTTCTGGTTTTCTTTTATTCAATCAGATTGTAGATCTTACACTATCACCAGTCTTTTAGCAGCTGTCAGTGACAACACTGAAGTAGCCTGCAGAAATGTTGAAACCACTAATGCATGCAACACAGCTAAAAATTTGGAGAAAAGTGTGGCCCTCTGCCCCAGACATTGCTGAAATTCATATGAATGTTGTCATTCTTTGTGTCGGAAACTGCAACAAATAAATGTAACTAATCACTATGATTATCAGATATTGTGAACACTGGTACAGCTGCTGCATTTTTTTTTGTTTATTTGTTGTTGATTGAGCTTAAATTAGCAAAAATGTCCCTCCTAAAGAAATGTGCAGAACGAGCTCAGCAACTATTTATGGTCCAACCAGATCAGCAGATTATTTTTTTGTTTTTGTTTTTGTTATTTTACATTTGCAAAATTCTAAGTACATTTAAATGCATAGGCTATTATTATTATTATTATTATTATTATTATTATTATTATTATTATTATTATTATTATTATACTTTCTTGAAGGGATAGTTTGAGGTTGTTATCAGAGATGTTCCTTTTTGCTGCCAGTGCAAAGAGTTTGGAGAAAATGAACTGTATCCTCAGTGCAGGAGGCGGCTTAAAGGTCGGGTGTTTAACATATTTAAAATAAATGAAAATACAAAATACCTGTGAAGGACTGGTGGCCTATCCAGCGTGCACTCTGCCTCTCGCCCAAAACGTTCGCTGGAGATATAGGCACCAGCACTCCTCCCAAACCCACTGGGGACAAGAGTGTGCAGAAAACGGATGGATGGATAGAAAATACAAAATATTCATACCTGTGGGATAAGACCCTAAAATAGCAGATAAACTTTTTCAGGATTTATGCAGCCAAACAGTGTCTGTCACTAAACTAATGCTAATCAAAACTGCTGTCTGATCAGTCATTCATCAGTTCAGTGGACAAATTTCCCTGTGAAATCTAAACAGTCCCCAGCCTTTTCTATATTTGCCTGGATGAGAACCGCAGATACAGTTAAACAAGCGACAGCCTGTCTCAAAATCTAAAAGTTAGCTCTGCTCCGAAAGCAGACTGAGTTCGACGCAGCTTTAGTACATACGTGTTATTCAGTTTAGAAAAGAGCCATGTATTTTTTATTTTTTATTTTTATTTCATCTGGTTACTTTTAATATTTTCTATAAACTCGCAGAAATGTTATATGGCGAAAAGTCACTTAAAAAAAACCCGGAGAATTATTCCTCTAAGAGTAATTTTATGCAAAATACAAAATGAGCTGTTTTAGTAACGAGAATACCAATATTTAAGTTTGTCCAACTCAGAATTAATTTATGCACAAACTTTTTAAAATATATGTTGAGAAAATTATGTTTTTTTTAAAGTTGTTTGATCTCGATTTCGAACCAAGTGAATCCTGTTAGCATTATGTTTGGTCCTCCTGAAAATATTTGTATCTTTTCAACTGAAATTAAGATTGTAGAAAGGAAGAGTCTGTTGTCTTGCAGTTTTGCAAACAGTTTCTGTAAACACTGTTTCCGTTGTGTTTTTCAGAGTGGCGTCACCATACTAAAGACATGCATCTGCTGGTAAGTCACTGATAACTGTATTTGTCATGAAATCATGCACTTGAAGACATTCTTAGTTTGAGGTTGAGCAACACCCATTTTGAACTTATGTTCAGCAATTACACATTCCCAAAAAGAGATTATGTAACAATCTGACTTTGCACTGGGCCTCATGATTAAACGCCAAAACTGATAAATAATCACAAGCCTCCCCTCATGCTCATCTATGCACGAATGTCGCCTGTGTTTTTCTGTGTGTTATCTGGGTTTGATGATGTCAGTATGAAACCAGTACAGTTGTTACCAAGGCTGTCTACACTTTTCTTATGTAGCCTTGGGTGTCTCTGGTTGCAGTAGGAAGGTTGTCACTGTGCTTGAGGCTTTGAAACAAGACCACGTCTGAGCCTTGCAGCTTTCCTTTTAAAGCTTCTGTCTGCAGCGTCGGTGCTGTTTACTGAAAACTGTTTGATCTGCCAACACAAGACCACAGATAAGAATAAAGCCAACCAGCAGCTGCCAAATTATCTTAAGAAAAAGTCTTCTGAAGCAAACATCTGTGGTGCAAGACAGCTTGAAAAAAAAAATCTAAATTGTATTATATCCAGTGTGTTGGCGTTATTTATTTTTTGCACTCTATCAGCTTTCTCATCAAATAAATTAGCAATATTTTGAAGACTTTTCACAATAAGCGAATGTTTGTGATGGTTCCTGACTGTTTTGATTGCTACACACAAGGCTCAGTCTGATGTTAGACATAAATATTTTACTAAACATGCTTTTAACTGAACACACAACCAGTTTTCCATAAACTCTCCTCATGCTTCTGGTGTCTTAATCCAGCAGCTTTTGCTAAAGTGCTATGCTAATGCTAACATGTTTTGATACAAATTCACAGATAATTTGGCTCAAAACATATTTCAGTGAAGCTCCAGTCAATTGTATGCGGGGAAAAAACAGGAAAAAGTATTTTCACCTAGCAACAACGTGCGGTAATTTTTGAAGAGTAGTTTTTCAGCTGTGCTCCTCTGTGTTTTATTGTTTGGGTAGTGAAGCTTGCAGCTCAGGTCACACAACACATAGGAGCTACAGCAGCAATTATAGTCTCTCTGTCACAGTGTGACGTCATAGTCGTTAGATATTTCCATGATCTAAAGTATAGTTTTGCAAATCGTGAAGATAAAAACAGGCTGATTTTAAAATGCAGCTCCTCCATTTGCCATCTCAATCTTAAGAGTTGACCAATAATCCTCAGTCACAGTTACATTTTGTCTAGAAATCCTATGAAAAAACAATAAACCCTTATCATTGGGAATCCTGAACTTGGCAATTTATCACAACATTTTTGTGATATTTATTGCAAAAATAATAAAAGTAACAAGCACATTTGACTTAGAGTTTTATCATTGGATTCATTCAGAGCCTCACAAACTCAAATTCTTCTCAAGTAAATTAAACATAATCATTATCAGACAGCCTAATTGATGGGTGCATAGGTTCAGTCTGAGAGCTGATATCCTGCAGCTTTATGCATCTCTTCTCCAACACACCTGAACCAAATGAATGGCTTGTCTCCAGGCCTCTGCAGAGCCGAGAAACTGAATGCTGAGTGGTTTTGATTCAGGTGTGTTGGAACAGGAATGCATCTTAAACTTGCAGGCTTGTTGATGAATGGAGTCGGGCACCCTGACATAATGCACACATTACAGTAACCAATGTAATGACTTAGACCATTTGTATCTTATGTCAATGTTGTATCACAGCTTCTATTAATTCTATTCATCATTTTTGATAAATGATGAATAGATAGTTGCCTATCCCTACCTGAGATCAGAACATGAAATTCCTGGCTGTAGTGCCAGACAGGCTAAAGGATTGTCTTTACTGGAACAATATAGACATTAACAACAGGCTGTTCTTTGCAAGACAGATTTTCTTCAATTGATTCTAAACTGACCTTAAGCTTCACTCAATGGTAATACTAAACAACTACCAGTTTTGACATACTATACCCACTTCATGCTTCAAGCCATTTTCAAACAAAAGTTTCTGTTTGCTGTCTTGCTGATGAGGAAGTAGCATTTGTCCCTAGTTTGTATTTCTGTTTCATGTGCAAAGCACACATGCAGAATATTTTCAGGAACCACCTCCAGTTCTACTTCTATTAATAGTTCCTCTGACATCATCCTGAATAAATTTATGCTGTGATGAAATGTCTGTTATAGTTTGCTCAGCTGTCAAAGATGACCAAAGTTAAAAGACTGATTTCCTCTACACTGACTCCCGTCCTCTGCTTTTGTTTAGGCTTGAAATGTCTACCGTTTGGTTTCCCATGATCCTCTATGCATCTGGGAGGAGCGCTTGGGTGGATCCAGCTGGTTTCCTTTGAGCAACTCGTCCAACCAGCTTCTTCATTATGCCTCTCTTTCTCCCTCTCTCTGGCAGACAAGGATTATGGAAGTCCAGTTTCACTGGGATACTAGATCATGTTAAGCTTTGGATTACAAACCTTCTAATTTTACTGCAACTATCTTCAATTTAATTTTTATTTTTTTGTTAATAAGCTGCACCACTTCTATGAATCAGTTGCTTTTTTGTCTCCCTTTTCTACAACATCTTACCAAACTTTGTCGCTTCGATTTTCTCTTTGTTTTATTTTTTTTTCTTGGGGAGGAAACAGACATTTCTGCCGTGGAGATGCTTCTTTGACTACAGCTCATGAACTGATGACTGCAAAGAGTGACTGTCTTTATCCTGCTGGAAACCTGAGAAGAACACACACACACGCACACCCGTACACAGATGTAATACCTGAAGAAATGTGATGCATACATGCATGGGTGATCAAAACCATGGAGGCCACAAGGGCAGAATCTGGGGCAGTCTGGTTCAAAAAAGTAGAAGAAATATACTGTAGTTTGATTTATGTCACCGTCTGTTCCACATATGTGGAGTTACACAGATGAGAAAGAGCCAAGCACAGCGGAGGGTTTTCAGGATAAACATCTTTCTCAGAGCTTTCATCTGTAATGCCTCAGTTTGTTTGGTGCTCAACAAAGCATACAAAGTTTTCTGCCACACCTGCTGAGTCAACTTTTTTTAAAATTATTTTATTAAACTGAGGTCACTACAAACCTGTCAGCATCTCTTCCTCAACCTGACAGCTTGACTCAACATCATTTTTTCTGTAAAAATGAGCAAATCTGTAACATTTACTGAATTCATCCTGTCTCTTTTATAGTAGCAGACCACCATGAGCTTTTAAAATAATAGCTGTATCATATTTATTGATTGAAATCCTTAAAATTCCACTTTGTAAAATAAAAAATACCACCAGAAAAAAGCTCATATTTCACATAAATATGCTCAGCTGATAAAACTAAGCCAGTCTAAGAGAAGCAACACATTTAACTGCTGTTTAAATCTTTTCAAAGTTGCTAAGTTGTTTGAAAAAGCCTCAAAAGGAAGATATCTGTAAAACATGTCATACCACATTTTGTATCTAATATATCAGAACCAATATGTTTTTTCATTTGATCTGATGAAGATGAGCATTTATGCAGCTTTAGGTGGTTAAACAAATCAACCAGCTTGTTTTTTTGGGGTTTGTTTTTACCACCTCTCTTACCTTTTTCAATCTGACTCTACAAACTTGTTTGAGTTTCTTCAAACATGTCTTGCTCTGTAATCTTAGCTGGCTCCCTCGATTCCTCTCAGCTATCCGTCCTGTATATGTTGTTCTCTGAAGCTCAGGATCCGCCCTCTCAGTTCGACTCATCCTGTCATCTTAGGAAGAACATGCAGAGGAGGAGGGATGTATTAAAGATGGCAGAGACAGGACTCAGCATGCAGAGCCACTTTCAGTCAGGTTAGGAGGAAGGCAGGAAGAAAAAGCGAGCGGGAAAGCGTTTTAGCCCTCAATTTTTTTAAAAACTGGAGGGAAAGTCTGATGACCTGTCACTATGCTGCTCTTTTTTTCTAACCACAACCGTAAAGAAGTTGCTTTTAACTAAATTATGGCTTTTAGAGTCTTTATGGAACTAGTTTTGATTTGAAAAACATATCTGTGATATTTTGAAGTTCGGCATTTAGATGTTTCTTCCTGAGTATTTTGTCCGCATCCTTTTTTTAAAAAAGAAAAATATCTTTGTGTGGTTCATGGTTATGTGTGACCTCAGACTTCAACCTGCACTGATCTCCAAACAAGTATTTATTTTGCTGAGTTTTAGAAGAAAAAAACAACATTTAAAATCATTGGAGCTGAAGATCACAGCCTGTAAGCAGAAACTCTTTATCTGTTTGAGTTGTAGAACAGAAATTATTTCAGGTCAGTTTGTCCTTTCATCAATTCGTACCCCTGTTTTATGCTTTGTCATTTTGTTCATATTTCTGTAAATTATTTAAATTTGTCAATGAATATTTAATCTTGGCAATAAATTAATCATGGAAAACATCTAATCTTGGAAACCTAATACCAGGACTATAATTAGGAGGGCATGGGTCCCTCATCAGGCATGTTGCTGCAATTTACAGTAGATAAATAGTTAAATACAAATTGCCTTCAAGGTTTTTAGATCTTTGCAGTATATTTGTTGTTGTTTTTAACAACCTGTGTGTATGTAATTGTTAGATATTTCTTTCACCATTTCTAGAAATATCTTCTTCCACACAAAATGACGTAACTATGCCTGTAGGTTAAGTAGAAAACAAAGTAAAACAAAAACTAAACCGTTTTTTCTGAAATCCAGGTACGAATTGATGCATGGTTAGTACAAAGCATCCTGTGGCACGAGGTTCCTGCAAAAGGTACCAGGACCCAGTCAAACCGAGTATTGACAAGTTCAAAACAAATGTGTTGAGTTTACAGTAACTATAATGCAGAGAATGTATTAATAACAACATGTAAATATGACATTTGTTGCCCTAAACGAGACCTGTTCATATGTTTTAAACTGCATAAAACTGCCCTTGTTGTATATAGGAGAAATTGTATTCACTGTACACAGATTTTGACTTTTTTTTGGATTATACATATGGGGAAAAGAATTTTAATTTCTTGTTTTGCTGTATTTTTCAGAGATGTTTTGTTATCTTTTAAGTTTATGTAAAAACATAAAAATCCATAAAGGCCTTGAAAATATTTTCATAACTTTGATTTGTTTCACCTATTTTATTTGTTTTTTATGGGGAAAATTATGCTTCTATTTTAAATGGTGTAAGAAAAAAAAAGAGGGAAACAACCAATCATATAGATGTGTGTCTTCAAACCCTCCAATCACAGCGTTCGCTTGTGTGAGCATGGCAATGATCTAGAGTCGAAGGAGTGGCCGGATCTCATCTGTCATGCCTGAAACATTTTGACACACTCGCTCACAAATGAGAACACTGACAAGAATTTGTCTCAACAAGTTATTTGCAATGACACGTTCCGCTCTGCTAATAGAAAAAACACTCTTGCTTTTTTGACTTAAATCAAAGTTAATAAAAATCAAAGTTAATAAAAATGGCTATATTAACTAAGAGTGCACATTTGTTCAGGTGTTTTGTTTCTTATGACTTTTCAGTGCTCAAACAAATTCAAATCTTCTGAAAGACAGAATTTTGAATGGCGAAAATCAATGTTTAAATATGTCCTTTTGTGTATAATGAATCTACATATATCTCACCATTAAATATGACTAAAATCCAATAATTTCTCAAAAATGTTATTTGTATTTGAGTGCACCTGTGGGGGTCACTAAATGATCACAGTGGACAAAATGTTTTCAAGAAAACAAAGCATCAAGAAGCTGCATGTATAAAGTGCTGTGAAATCTGAAGCAGTCGAACAAAACAGTGTGAAACACATTTTGCTTTGCTAAACTGCTGCAATAGACTACACAAGTTTTTTTCTGCTAACATTGTTACCATAATAAGTTTCTCATCTGTGTTACACCAATTAAAAAATATGCAAACTAAAATGACAGAAAAGCTCCTGTGTGTGGTTACATATTAATTTATTTTCTTAATGAACAACAGCAAAAGAGTTTAAAAGTGAAACTCTTCTGGACCATTTCAAAGTAGTTTTGAAGAAATGTTAGTCAAAACTCTCACTGTCCTCTTCATCAGACAGACCTTATTAGTAGCAGATTTGCATGTCAACATAAAGTTGTTATCTTGCACATCCATTATGTGAAGCTCAAGTTTCACCAAACCTCAAAGCTGCTTTATTAGATTTAGGTCTAATAACTGTGAAGGCCATTAGAGTACAGTGAACTATTTGCTCTGTGCAAGAAACCAACTTTTAAGATTTTAGCACAGAAGCTACAATTGGAGCCACACTGTGATCACTAAAGGGTGATTACTGTCAGGGAGGACCAACAGAGCTCTCCAGTTCAGCAACACCTGCATTTGTGCTCATAATTTACATACTTATCACAACTCTGTTTTTTTTGTTTGTTTTTTTTTGTTTCATATGTGCACAAGCTATGAAAAAGGCTATGAAAGGTAACCATCCTCACCTGTGATCTGTCTGCTAGTAATCAGTGTGTATAAATAAACAGTCAGTGAGTTTCTGGACTCCTGACAGACGCTCGTGTTACTCATCCAGTGCTGACTGACGTCTTATGTTTTCAAGTCATAGAGAAAGCAAAGGAATTGTCTTACGATCTTCAAGAAAAGGTAACCGAATTACTTAAAACCGGTAAGGGACGTAAAAAATATTCCCCAAGGAACTGACAATGGTCAACAAAGTGCTTTGTTTCTCACCCTTTGGGGGAGTCTGAACTACAAGGCACCAAAAGCTTGTTTTACTGCTTGTCCGCTGTGCCTGGTACGTACCTGGATGTTCCAATTCAAAACACAAGGCCGAGTCGACCTGTCAGACCTGCAGCAAGTCAAGGTTCTGGTGTGACTATCTTGATTTCCTGACCTCTAAAACGCATAGGAGGTAATGCAATCATTTGAATCAGCAGCAGCAGGACAGTGGAACCGCTGGATCAGATGCACAAAGGTTATTTCCAATAATCAAATAAATTTCTATATTTTAGTTAAGGTTCAACTGGTAATGCAACAGAGATAATACCAAAGATAATCTCTTAGTGTCGTCAGTAGTGGTTACATCGTGGAGTGACTTCCTCTTCTAGATCACAAAAGAGCCATTTATTGTGTGTGTGTGTGTGTGTGTGTGTGTGTGTGTGTGTGTGTGTGTGTGTGTGGGGGGGGGGGTGTGGTGTGTGTGTGTGTGTGCGTGTTTGTGTGCGTGTGCGTGTGTGTGTGTGCGTGTGTGTGTGTGTGTGTGTGTGTGTGTGTGGGGGTGGGTGTGTGCGTGCGTGCGTGTGTGTGTGGGTGTGTGTGTGTGTGTGTGTGTGTGTGGTTGGGGCTGTTTTGCTTTTAAAATTCTGCACTGACTCCACCTATTCAGCATTACTGGTCAAATGGTGCAGAGCAACTCCTTTCTGACTTTGCAGGTATTTGTTCTACAACAAATGTAATCGTAGCAGGCACACCAAACTTCCAAACTAACTTTTAAGTAGCTTTTTAGTGAATCCTCAGAAGAAAGAAAGTGGCTGGAAAGGGAGTGTTTTCCGGTTATGTTTTCCCGCCTAACTCCTCATACACTCAGTTCATGTTTTTCTCTTGGTGAGGTAAAGCCAGAATGACTGACAGGACTGGACATGCCTGGCAGACTTTACTCAGGAATGTGTGGTGCATTGATCACTGCAGGAAGTGAGGCAAAGGCCGTTGAGTGGAAAACACAACAAAATAAAAAACACTGGCTCATCAGCTCCTCCTCCTCTTCATTTTGAGTTTCTAGTAACTGGAAAGCATGACTATGACTACACATTTAGTCACATGTCTTATATGCATTTAAAGAAGAAAAACCTGAACCAGTAATTGTACAAGAACTACGATCCTGAAACAGTAAATTTAAAATGAGGGAAAGCCCTGAAGGGCTTGTGTGAAACTCTCTAGTGTGTAATTTCTTTTTTTCCTAGAGTCAGAACACACTACTGATAATTTATACTATGACTAACTGTTTTGGTGAACTAAATGTTCAGAATCATTTTCTGTGCATGGGAGACTTAAACTTAAGCATCACCAAACTGTTAAAGACACAGACGAATAACAGGACGGTTTTGAAACTGGGAAGAAGAAAGAGGCTACAGACAAGCACACTAAATAGGGTGACTTGCAAAAAGACTCAGACAAAGGTCATCAGATTTTGTCACAATGTCAAACATTGATTTTTTGTGTACTCAAATATGCAGTCAAATTGAATGAATTAGATCTGTGGTTTAGATTAAAAGTATCTTTTGATAATAACAACCTTTAAGTATTGAACATATTTCTCTTTAAAAGCACATTTCTGGATTAAATACGTTTTTGTCTGTGGTCTGATGTAATCGTCATATTTTAAATGTCATGTTTCTGTTGCCTGTAAGTCACTAGTCATCATATTTATCAGAAATAAAAGCTTTCAAACATCCATTAGCAGATGTAATCTGTTCGGTAAAGATTTTAACATATCAGACATCTCAGGGATGACGATGTGGAGGAGCTCATTTATTATAAATAGAATAACTACAGACAAACAATTACAAAAAAAGCTAAATCAGAACACAAGGACATTTAACTTATACCATGTTGACATTTTCCTGGACTCATCATTGACAGGAACTGCAATTTCACATTTTTGCCTCTCTTTTACTTCTTATGCAAAAGTTTTCTGTCTCTTTAGTCTCTTAGTTTGTGGAGCTCACCTTGCTGTTTCTGCAGCCTCACATTAGGAATCTCATTGATTTTTTTAATACCTAGCATCAGAGAGCATCTATCAGCAAAGCGAGGCATTGCGTCTTGCATTGATGGCTGACATCAGCATTTAGCCTTGCTGTAAGAACACGGCACTAACTAATCTGTCTGAGTCTGCTACATTTACCCAGCAGAAGAAGATCCCCATGCTGAGGTGAGGGGTAGTGCTGGCAGGCTGAACTGTACCTGTGTGATTACAGGGTGGAGTAATGATGGCTCTGGGGAAAAGTCAACTTAAGGGACAGAACCTCGCTTGTTTCACGCAGACAGGTTGGCTGTAGTTGCTTCATTGGCCAATAAAGCTCGACGATTAAATTGCATTTGCAGTTTACTGTCATTACAAAGGGTAATGATTTATATTTTGATCTAAATTTGTTTATGAAGGAATTTGAATCAGTTTGTTTGTAAAGTACAGATGGCCTCTTACTAGGGGCTTCTGAGCACCACCTTAGATTTAAATGCTTGCGTCTTAAAAATTAATGGAGCGAGAGATGAAAGTGATATTGATTTTTCCAGCTAATTTCCAGGAATAAAAAAAGAGAAAGAGATGTCGAGCTTCCTTCTTAAGTTGTTTTGATTGAGGAATTGATTGATTTTTCATTCCCTGGCTTTCTTGTCAACAATCTTTTTTCTACTTGTACAAAACACAAACACACAAAAAGAATCAAGCACACATCCAAAGAAATATCCTGTACTTCCTTTTATGAATGCACTTCAGAAGTCCTGACATATTTGGTCTACTTCTCCTCTTCCTCTGTTTTTTCTGTTTCAGCCTCTATCACTTCGTTTTTGTCTTTGGCAGTCTCCTCAATCAGATCACCGCACTCACTTATCATAGCTCAGCTTACAAAACAACTGAAGTATATTTACACATTCTAGACTTGTCTTCATCAGATTGGAAAGTCTGTCAAGTTGATGTCTGATTTTTGCACCTGCCTCAGCTTTAAATCAAACATACTGACCTTTTCAGGGCATAAATAAAGCTTCGTCACCTTGGAACGCTCCCTGAAATCCAGATCAGAGTGTAGATATGATTATATGAACTAAAAGACAAAGGGGAAGTTTTACGTAATACTTTTAGGGTTATTTTTGTGACATCCCTTCCCTTTAAAAGCATTAGAGTCCCTTTGAATTTAAAACTGTGACCTTTCAGTCAGTTACAACTCTGTCACAAATGAAACTATTTGATCAGGAAACGAGTGTAATTTCCCCTTTTGACTGAATTTTGCATCTGTGACGTAAACATGAATATCTTTAAGGAGTCAGGCTCTGTGGAAGATACTGGCTACAAACTGGAACTCCAAATTGTATTGCATTTTAGGAAAAATTAGTTTTCTCTGTAGCTCTGCT